ACCATTATGCATTATGTAAAACCTCCCAATACCCGAATAAAAATTCTTGTAAGCCCTGTCCATTATTGGGAGGATTCCGTTGTTGAGAAGTCCAGTATTGAGATGTTTTATTGCATCCATTACTTTATTGAGAGGGCTTGCTGTATCCAATACTTTATTGAAAAATCCGCTATTGAGAGGGTTTACAATATCCATCACTTGAAAAGTCCGCTATTGAGAGGGTTTACTATCAGACAAAAATAACCCTGACGATTAAGTAACTCGTTTAAAATAGCAAAATAAAAATAAATGGTAAAAAAAGGTAAAAATCACTGAGGTTTCTCCTTCACTCGTCTTCAGTAGAGAACGAGCATCGACAAAGAAAACACAGCCTCGAGTCTTGTGTTATCTCGGGCCTGTGTGACACTCGCTGCAGTTCTCGGCGTGATATGAAGGAACACTACCACCCATGACATGACTGCCTGTGAAAATGAAGAAAATGTATGAAAATAAGGAAGAGTTCAACAGAGAGAGAGAATGAATATGCCATCTCCTCTGGAAATTAGTGAAATATATGCTCGGAGTCCTGAAGAATTGAAGAATGAATTATTTTTATGTATGTATGTAGTGAAGGGGTAAAGTTGAGTGTAAGAAAAATATTCAAACAATTCTGTAGTTCTTTTCCTGTGGCGGGCTACCTAAAGTGCGATTGACGTCACAGGTAAGTACTGTGTATATATAGTTAGAGAAGGGCCTTATTGTGTGTGTAGTTTATTTTGTCGTTTTAGTCTGTGTGTGTGTGTGTCTGTGTGTGTATCCGTGTGTGTGTAGAGCAGAAAGGAGAGGGGGAAGGAAGTGGTCGGCTAAAGAGAAACTCCCATAAAACTGTCTATGCTTTTTAGTTTTTTATATAAAGTCAATTCGTCTCACCCGTGGAACAGATTTCAAGATTCGTTCATTTCCTCTACATATTAAAAAGCAACTATTTTTTTTCCTCTCCTGGTTTGGTCTTGAAAGATAACGTCACGGGAGCTGTCAATATATCAGTTTTTATATTTCTTTTCTTCTATCGTTGGTGCGGGTGTCTGTCAAAGTGTTTGTCCTCCACATCTTCAGAACGTCCAGTTTACCCACGATGGTGATCATAATCCCTCCTCCGCTGAGAACAACAGGACAATAGAAAAATCAGAATGGAAGTAACAGATCAACAGGACAAAAAGAACAACAGAACGAAACAAACAGAAACAAATGAGCAACTAAATTCGTTTTTGGAAAACTATATTACTAAGATACCCAATACCAAAAATTTTACCGTGTCTCAGAAAAATGTAAAAAAAAAACTACCTTACATATTTCTACATGGAGATCGCGTGAATATTTGTGATAGAACAGTTCACCGACTCGGAATTGATACACTTGTGCCGCCAGCCTTTGCTCCACCTCTGGGAGACATCACGTAACCCAACTTTTGACGTGTGTTTGACGATACCCATCAGAACGTTATTAAGAGCAGCATTGTCTTCAAATTGAATGCTTTGGAGGTGTGTAACTTGGCACCAAAGAAGATAAGAAAAAAAATGTCTGTTTGGGGGTAAGGTTTGTGTGGTTTTCGAATAAAGAAACTAGGCTATGTTTGGACTTCGCGCGCGCTGTTGTGTTTAAGCCGACTATCATCAACATCATTATATCACAAATGTATATTGTCCCATGAACCAAAGGCTTCTAGAACAATGAGCTCTAGTTATTGTTGCGTATGGGACAACAACAAAGTCATAAAAAAACAGTAACAAAGGAAATAAGATTATAACATTTACTACTGATCTCTTTGCCTTATAAACTATGGATGCACAACTACATAATACCGTAGTCTTTGATAATACGCGAACCTTTGTAAAACCGAGGAAAATTATGCTCTTAAAAAAATCATAATTTCGCTGCTAAAATATGGTACAAATAATTGTATTTTCCAGGTAATAAACTTCACTCATTTACTGCAACCCTTCACATAATTATATCAAGCATAACTACTTTATCAATTTAAGTATATATAGAAACCCAAAACACATTCTAAGCAGCTGATCACGACACTTTAGAGGTCGTATCTTATAGCTATCTTATCCTAATACCTGGGTGAGGAGGAACACGTAATACACTTTCCTTGCTGGCTCTATTATTGTACATTGTTATGGGCGGACGCGTGGGAAATAGCCTATAAGAAATTCAAATTGATTTCGCTTTTCGGGGCGCACACACTTATCGGAGAAGATAAGATGATTATCCAGAGGGTAACTTTAATAAATTCAGAAAAATACAAAAATCTCGAACAGTACATTGTCTTAAGGTGAGGAAATTCATTATATCTGAACTCAAACTTAGCCTGAAGGACAATAAACAAATCCGCCGAACCGAAAGGTCTTAAACACACAAGACCATTTAGTCTATCCTTGCCAATGTCTACCGGAAAATAAATATTGGAAAGATTGAATGGCAGATGGAAGGTATAACACACACACACACACACACACACACACACACACACACACACACACACACACACACACACACACACTTATAGCTCTTCCAATCCCTACCGAAGTGGATGATTAGGTACCCTGCACGTACAGAAATCCTAGCTCACTCTGCAACAAAATGAATTCACGGTTGTATTTGTCCATGAATGAACAATACCTTAGCGATCTCGTATATACCAAATTGACTCGTAAACAGAAAACAAAATTTGAATATTATGCAAATAGGAAATTATCAATCTGGGTGAAGAAAAAAAAATATGATGGAAAATAGAGTAAGAGCATTACGTAGGAGAAAATCCCATCGGAAATTTTCCTTTACCACAAATACATAACATTATTTCTAAATTTTCTCTACCTCAGGGGTAAAATATTAAAAACTTGTTATTAGTGGGTTGGAGTATGGTGTGAGGTTCATATTGTGGTCATATCATGGTTGTGTTACATTATTGTTCTATTGTGGTGGTTATACTGTCATATTGTAACGTTTAAATGGCGAAGGAAAACTTGCCATGCTCATATTGTAACGTTTATATAGTGAGTGGTTATATAACGACTTATGGAAGTGCCTGGGAGGATTTTCTAACAAGTAAAAATCTAACAAAAAATATATGCTGTATATGGCTTTCATTTTTAGGTGGTAGAGCCTCGTGCATTTCGGTTTTACTAAAGGTGGAATGGCAGGCAACAGGCGCGGCTGGAGTAGTTTTAACAAAATAATTCAGGGCGATGGTGAAACGGGTTCAACATTGGTGCAATATTGTCGAGAATGTTTGCAAAATTTTGCGCAACTGCTGTGAATGACGCAATATAAGAAAATGCATAATACGCACGACCTCGGGAGACACGGAGCAGGAGGCGATGCAAAAGTGTACACAAAGTGTTAAAATCTAAAAAGAAAATAGTGTTTGGTAAATCACATGAGCGGCAGACTAAGCTGATTGAATTCTGTTACAGTATCCTATCTTAAATGTCCATAAAGTAAACTACTCATAGTGTTTAAAAGCCCTTTAATTACTGATTTACAATTTCTTCCCCTCAACAGTTGATCCTATAAACAAAATTAAATTAAAAAGATAAAACAACGCCTCAGGACATGATATTCATTTCCTCCTGTCCTATGCATCTCTGCCAGTGTTTCCATCTGACCACTGTTCGGCTGCAGGCGGAGTTTGTTATACAGTTAAGACCTCTGGCCAGGATGTGTGTGGTGAGGGGGACTATTTTTCTGTCCACAGGCCAATTGCCGACACCGGCCATCTGGTTTTCGTTTGTAACCTGACCATGAATCGTCCAGGGTGAGTCTAGGCGCAGTCGAGCATTATTCCTTTACTGTAACATTCTAACAGCAATTTCTTATATATTATTTATTGTTTTTGTATGTGGTTTACAACATATCTTTCCGTGCTAAAATGTGTTGCTGCTGCTTACTTAACTTTACAATGTATAGTTACTGTCAATGTGTCACCACTACACACACTACCTCTGAAAGAATACAATGAATGTATTCTTTAATATATTTTTTAATTATAGCTAACTTGCTTTCCAGGACATACTGCTCTTCTTCTTAATCGTCGCTGTCTGTCTGTTTTTCAGCCACACTGAATTCGTTCCGCTACTTTACTCTGCCTGAATTCCATGTACTGTGCAATGAGTCTTTTGGCTGCTGATGATGCTACTTGGCCGTTCTGTTATGATCTTGGTCTATTGCATCTACCGCCCGCCTGTCTTCTGTGTTGTGATATCGTCTGCTGATCTAACATAACCAACCTGTTCTATATTGACGTTAATTATCCTTTAGTAAAAATAAAATAGTACCAGATTGTATACAACTTTAGGCAGATTATTATTATTAGTATCATCATTTCTCCGTGTGTGCAACTTCGTGTTACTGGAAGTTTTATATATATATATATATATATATATCATAAGCACCATAAACTGTCAACACCTTAAACTGAAATGCCTCTGAGACGGCATGTGTTAAACAATTGTCTAAATTTAACTGTCATAAATTATCAATGTTAAGTGTTATGCTAAAGTCTTTACATATTCTTTTAAAACTAGAAAATGGAGAAAATTTTATTTATAATTTATTTTATTGTTTTTGAAGTAACAATTTAGAAACGTCATAATTGCTATTAGATTGTTCTGCTTTAATTAACTGGTCATATGTTTTTAATGTGTTTACGAAGTTCAATATATTTATATTTTATTTAATTGATATTGCGTCATATATATATTTTTTATATTATTAATTATTATTCATTTATGGAATTGTGCTAACTACTTCTACCATTTTCCTCAATTTCTTAAAAAAAATAGCGATTATTAGGTGTACAGTAGGTGACTGTTTTAGTTGTTACATTATATCCTCACAAAGATATGAGTAACGGTCCTGGTATTTACATGCAGGTGCTAATTTACCTACGACGTAAATCATTATAATGACCTTGTGAATACGTGCGTAATAAACCTGGTGTTGATCTGCAGGTGCGGGATGCGGCTGGTGCGTCGGCGTGGGCTGGCGTGGCGGGAGGCGGCGGTGAAGGCTGCCGCCGCTAAGGCTCGCCCGCCCAAGCAGCCAGACCGCTGGGCTCAACTCCTAGAGCAGCTCAAGAACCCCGCCCCCTGTGACCACCCCTCGTGTAGAGGCGGCCACCAGCCCGGGGAGGACCACAACATACCTACCATACGCAGGGTGAGACAACAGGGTCCACACGCCCCGGGTTCTCAAGATTCGTGTAACAAGTCTCGGTACAAAGTCGATGTCATTTCGGCACTCCACTTTTGTGCTGTATAATTCTGATGAGCTGTTAGATTCCTTTTCATATCTGAGACAACTGCACGAACCTTTGAGATTCCAGACCAGAAGCATTATACTTTCAGCTAGAGCGACGCCAAGGATGGAGTCTTTTGCTAATAGTTTGTTCCGATGTACTGTATTATACGTATAAATGTTTGTAAGAATTTCTCGATACCTTTTAGTTGTTAGCGCATGAATACATCATATCATCAGCATCATCTAAAACCAAGATACAACACAATACCAACAAACATTCACTCTAACATTATTTTATCATCACAACATCAACAAATTCACATAATGTCGTTCTGAATCCTATCCGTGGTGAGGTAATGTATATCCCCGGCGACTTGTCATAAAAATTCAATTGGATCCCAAATAACCAGGCCGCAGGGAACATAAAGCTATCATATCACAACATATCCTCGGTTTGTCACACCACCTTGGCTCACGAGGATTAATGAGACTTGAAGTTGATGCACAATCTTATCTTACCTCCTTGACATTAACGATTGGGACATAAGAAATTGAAAGCATCTTACCTTCAAGTTCAACTCGTTATCTTGATGGTGCTGTTCCTTCAAACTAATCTTAACTACTTTTCGATAAATATTCTGAGGAAGGTGAAACAGACAAGATGAAACCAAAGCAGTTGAAACGGTTGATAAGAGACTGTGTAGTTCTGACCATTTTGTCTACGTCTTTTGTGTTTTGTTTGGCAGGACAAATAATTTTCTTCATAATTACTGTACAGTACTTGCAAATTACCTAGATAAATTACCGGTAACTATTTTGGGTTTGTTAAGGTGTGTGTGTGTGTCGCGAGGTTGGTCTGTGACGCGGGTGGTGGTGTGATCGCTTGTATATTTCAGCAGTGCGGACTACACCCTCTCTATGCCACACCTTCCCGTGCTCTGGGAATACGTGCCTAGAGAGAGAATCCCGAGGAGTTTTCTCGCGTTTTTTGTTATTTATTTTTTTACCTCAACAGAAATAAATCAACATTGGACCAAAGAAATGCCCCTTGAAGAGTCCCTAGAAATGTTCAAATCATAAGATAATCACAGCATAGAAGCATTAACTCAGCTTTGAATCAATTACCAGATGATGATTGTGTACGTACAGCTACATCCAAAATTCCCTCGACACTTAGCAAATATCTAGCAACTATTTGTGGGTCATGTAGTGGGATTGGTTTATAGCTAGTGAATGATTCATTGAATAAAAATATGAGTAAATAACTGGAAAATTTACATCCCAGTTCCTCCATGACCCTCACGTATGATGTCAGATATTGCATACAGTGTCGAGGGAATTTTGACCACAACTGCACATGTTAGATGACCGCGACATCAAGATTAGCTAAGGCTAACACAATAATATACAGCTGATTTTGTTTTAGTGTACAGGGTGTCTCATGTGTTATGTACAGTCACCCACAAAAGTCCTGTCGCTTCTCCTCCTGAGTCACGAACCCCGAGATTCAGACTCATGAAGCCGAAGCATTTATGGACAGAATAATGTATCAGTCTACTGCTTCGGGTTCACTAGTCTGAATCTCGGGGTTCGTGACTCAGGAGGAGAAGCGACAGGACTTTTGTGGGTGACTGTACCATACTGTACAGGGTGTCTCATGTTGTGCATCATACTGTACAGGGTGTCTCATGTTGTGCATCATACTGTACAGGGTGTCTCATGTTGTGCATCATACTGTACAGGGTGTCTCATGTTGTGCATCATACTGTACAGGGTGTCTCATGTTGTGTATCATACTGTACAGGGTGTCTCATGTTGTGCATCATATTGTACAGGGTGTCTCATGTTGTGTACCATACTGTACAGGGTGTCTCATGTTGTGCATCATACTGTACAGGGCGTCTCATGTTGTGCATCATACTGTACAGGGTGTCTCATGTTGTGCATCATACTGTACAGTGTCTCATGTTGTGCATCATACTGTACAGGGTGTCATCATGTACAGGGTGTCTCATGTTGTGCATCATATGTACAGGGTGTCTCATGTTGTGCATCATACTGTACAGGGTGTCTCATGTTATGCACAATACTGTACAGGGTGTCTCATGTTGTGCATCATATTGTACAGGGTGTCTCATGTTGTGCATCATACTGTACAGGGTGTCTCATGTTGTGCATCATACTGTACAGGGTGTCTCATGTTGTGCATCATACTGTACAGGGTGTCTCATGTTATGCACAATACTGTACAGGGTGTCTGATAGATTACTCACTATACTGTAAAGGTCTTTGTAATCGTTCCTGTTGTCCGTGACTTTTGAGACACCCTGTATTCAAGATGACTCCTACAGTACCAGACTTATGAAACACCCTGTATATTCTGTATATAAATGCCTCAATATATCAAGTGTTTGGGGGTATTTGCATCGTCGATTTTCATACTAGATATCAGCCAATGAAAAAAGCGGAATTTAAATGATTTCTTTGAGAAGGTGAACTGTGCAGCGTTTTAACAGGTGTACTTTGAAGAGTTACGTAGGATTGCATTAAGGAGTCGTTGTCGTTCTGGGTAATACTGTACTGAACCTGTTATTGTGCTTCTGGTTTTGTTTCGAGAGCTTTGTGTGTGTGAGTAGTGTTCGATACACCGGGGTTTATTGTTGTACAGTGTGGTGCTTATACCTCTCTCTCTCTCTCTCTCTCTCTCTCTCTGTACTCTGCTGCTACCACACTCCCTCTCTAGTCCATTCCCCCACCGTTTCCTCCCCTCTCCCCCTTCTCATCCACGTTGCTACCCTACTTTGTTTACTTCGGCGTTCTCCTCTCTTCCATCATCTCCCCTTTATCATCATTATCCCACCTCTTCCCCTCCTCCCACACAGACTCTCTCTTTCCCTTATTACTCCCTAACTCCTCCCCCTCCCTCCCACCCTTCCTCAAGCTGCCCCTCACTTCCTATGTTGCCCTGTAATATTCTTTCTCCGTCACGTCTCACACCATATCTTCCTACCTCACCATCCCCCCCCTTCCATTTACCCACCTACTTATTTTGTTTCTCCCACCTATTTACCTACCTTCCTCACCCATCTCTCCCTCTCACCTACTTATCTACCCACTTCTCCCTTCCTCCCACTTTACTATTTTTCCATCCCATCTACTGTACTTACCTACCTACCTCATACCTCCCCTTCTCATTCACCTCTCCCTCCCACTTAACTATCTCTCTCTCCCACCTTCCCCCTCTCTCCCTCCTACACAGAGAGGAGAGGACGTGCCGGGGTGGTGTGCTGTGGGTCACACTTGACGGTCGACTGACTGTCACTTCTTAAAGAGGACCGCATCCATACTGCCCCAACCTGCACCCCTGTGTGTGTGTGTGTGTGTGTGTGAGACAGACTGACCGACCACCCCTAGTGACTAACAGACCGACCAGTGGCGATAAAGTAATTGTAAGAGAAACATCATCTCCACAAACAACAATAATATAATGAGTTGTAAACTAGTCCAGGATATACGCTTACTCTGACGTCATCATCACAGTCAGAAGCTTCCAATGCACACAGTCATGACACAAACTGTTCACAATACTTTATAATAACATTTCACGTCGTTCATGGCGGAATCATTATTGTAAGGTTTAGAAAAATTATTATATAATTTTTTATGATTTTTTGTTTGTTTACATCCGATGTTCTCTTGTTATTGTGTTACAGAATTGGTCAATTATATCTTTTCTGGAGCCTAACGAGGTAGTGGTTAATATTATTATGAGAAATTATCAATATGGTTAATTGTTTTGTGTGTCCATTGATGCGTGTTTAAATATGTTGATCTTTATTTTGCAACAGTGTTTAGTTGAGCTGTAACTAACACACACACACACACAGGTACACGCCTCACACTGAATCAGTCATACTAGTCTAAAATTGGTGACGTGTGGGTGTGTTGCAGGAGTCCCGGGCGATGGTGGTGCAGAGACAAGCCAAGCAGGAAGAGGAGTTCCAGGGGTTCACGACTCGCCTGCTGGTGGTGTTGGCGCTGCTGCTGGCTGGTCTCACCGCCTTGGTGCTGTACACGCTCTTCTCCTCCCCAACTCTCCTCTCCCAGCAGCCCTCGACGCCCCAAGACTCCTAGCCAGACAGGAGGGCTCCCACCACCACCCGCCCTGGTATACTGTACTGTACACGCTTCTCTCCTACCACCACACTCTTCTCTCAGCAGCCCTTGACCTCCAGAATATATAGCCAGGGCAGGACTTCCACCACCCTCCCGTCCCTCTCACCTACTATACACAAGGCCATGGAATATAGTGTTAGTTTTGCCTACGTTGGCCCAAGACTTTCGAGACAGCTCAAAGTGTCAGTAAAACAGTGACACACTTGTTAGTAGTGGACAGTTCACTGGTTGTAGTAGTAAACGAAACATGCATCTGGTCTAATAATGTCAATGACAACCCGAGGAACGTATAAAGTTTCCCAACACATTAAAAACTGCACCACTTCATTAGGTACATCCGAGAGTGTTATGTCACAGGTCCTCCCGCGTCTACCCATCATGTTTAGCGAGGTGCTGTATCCTTGAGGTGATGAATGATGACTCAAGCTTCAATGAGCGTTCATCCGTGTTCGGTCGCCAAGACTTCGGTGGACGCGGCATATATGCAGTTCAAGCCAACGTTGACAACGAGCACAGGCCACACCGTGAAGGAGAAACTGCATTTCCCCTCCCTACACGTACCGCCACTAGACCAGGTGTGTGAAGTGCAGTGATATACACCGACTAATGGCGACTGCTATGAATCTATGATGATGAAGGCGAGATATAAAAAATGAAAGATAGGGAGAAAGAGAGAGAGAGAAACAGAGAAATAAAGATAAAGAGAAAGATTGCTTTGTATTAAAGTTTATCTATAATTCACAATGTCACGTGAAATTTAGGTGTGCGTTCTGACACTCTTAATTACTGCCACCACTCGGCTCCGCCACCAGAGGGTCACACAAAGTCCTTTAAATCCAAGAGCTACATTATCCTCTATTCCATCTCTCCCTTTCATCTTTTTTTTTTATCGATCACATTCTTCACTTCTCGCTCAACACTGCCCGCCGCCTCCCACCAGCGAGTCCCCCCTGACACGCCAAACTTGTCCGTCAAGCGATTTAAAAAATGTTGGTCGGTCCTCTTAATAAACCTGACCCACTCACCGCCGACCCCATACACACCACAGCCAGCCTCTTAAACTGGATTTCCTTAACCTAACCTCACGTCCGTTCACCTTACAACCACGATAAGATTTGAAGAACTAATGATGCGAACAATTCGTCCGTAAGAAACCTTATGATTTGTTTATAATACTTATCTTTATGACGGTTCCTGTACTGTTGATGGTTTAAAAATCATACGGGAGAAACAGACAATTATTGTTTTTACCTAAGCAGAGGCGGGAGGTTGTGGGCAAGGCCGAGATGCAATATACGGAACCCCTCTGTGATAAGTGAGAGGTAAACAGATAAGGTTATGATTGAAGGGCTGGGGACCACACACATATTCCGACCCCCCCCTCTCAAGTTAAAATTAAGTTAGGTTTGGTTAAGAATACGTTCGTTGATTTAAAGGTTAAATTAGACAAGTGGCTTCGGAGGTCCACATTGGTTAGGTTAGGTTGGGCAGATGAGATTATTGGTTTGTTAAGGCTTTAGGTTAGGTTAGATTGTTTCCCGTAAGTTAGGTTAGGTTAGTTGAGGCTTAGGTGAAGTTATACGTTACGTTACTTAGTTTAAGTTTGGTTAAGGTAAGTTAAGTTAGATTTGGTTTGGTTGGTTTAGGTTAGGTTAGCGTTAGAGTGAAATAAGCTGGGGTAGGGTAATCCGAACACTAAATGTACGAAACTGAGGATTCGAGCAGAGTCGAACCTTGATGGTGATGTAGTTGTGTAGGCGTCACTACCCACAACTCCACGCTCCCACCTCCTCCCCCCACCTCCCTCTCCCCCCACCTTTATAAGTTGTCAGGCACGCCTCCACAACTAATTAACTGGCTATCAATTAATGGGAACTAATTATGGCGGGTGTGAGGACTGAGGAGGAGATAGACGAGTGTTGATGGCCGGATAATGTATTGGTATCTTGGCCACGGTCGAGCTGCTCTCTATTACGTCGTGTTGCACTTTGGTCAATAACTGGTGGTAATAACTTCACTTACAATAATGTATGAATGTTAACTCACTTACGATAATGTATGACAGTGCTTCACTTACGATGTTAATGACAGTCTCTTGGTGATTACTTAATGTATGACAGCTCTTGGTGATGTTAACTTCACTTACGATAATGTATGACAGTTCTTGGTGATGTTAACTTCACTTACGATAATGTATGACAGTTCTTGGTGATGTTAACTTCACTTACGATTATGTATGACAGCTCTTGGTGATGTTAACTTCACTTACGATAATGTATGACAGCTCTTGGTGATGTTAACTTCACTTACAATAATGTATGACAGTTCTTGGTGATGTTAACTTCACTTACGATAATGTATGACAGTTCTTGGTGATGTTAACTTCACTTACGATAATGTATGACAGTTCTTGGTGATGTTAACTTCACTTACAATAATGTATGACAGTTCTTGGTGATGTTAACTTCACTTACGATAATGTATGACAGCTCTTGGTGATGCTAACTTCACTTACGATAATATATGACAGTTCTTGGTACATTGATATTGAAACAGTTTCTTTAATTCAGAAAAACACAAGAACACTTGATCACATTTGTTCAAAGTCATATTAACAAGGATGAAAATATAAATGAAGATAAATCCCATATTAAACTATTTTTTTCATAAACTTTACTTCACACACAACTCACTAACAAGGCAAGAAAGAGTAGAGATACAGATATAAAGATAGACAAAAAATAAGATTGAAAGGGAAAATGAAATGAGAATGAGAAAGAAAGGAAGAAAGAAAGAAAGGGATTTAATTGGGTATTATATTTATTACAGACGCGTGATGGCAGTCTCATCCAGTGAACGAACGAGCCGCATTGAAGAAAACGGAGACGAAGACGCAATAAACCCATGAAGAAAAATGAAGGAAGAATCAACAAGTGGGAGAAGACATGAGATAAACACAATGAAAAAGAGGCGTTAGAAAAGAAGAAGGCAAAGATGTGAAGCGAGGAGAGGAAAACACGAAACGGCTGAACTAATGCGGGAGGAATTGAGAGGTGGTGGGAGGGTGGTGAAGCGAAGAGGAACAGGGAGCCAACAACAGGTGGTAATGTAGGATCAGTCAGGCAACAGGTGGTGACGTAGGATCAGTCAGGCAACAGGTGGTGACGTAGGATCAGTCAGGCAACAGGTGGTGACGTAGGATCAGTCAGGCAACAGGTGGTGACGTAGGATCAGTGGTGACAGGCAGTCAGGCAACAGGTGGTGACGCAGGAACAGTCAGGCAACAGGTGGTGACGTAGGAACAGTCAGGCAACAGGTGGTGATGTAGATCAGTCAGGCAACAGGTGGTGACGTAGGATCAGTCAGGCAACAGGTGGTGACAGGAACAGTCAGGCAACAGGTCAGTAGGATCAGGCAACAGGTGGTGACGTAGGATCAGTCAGGCAACAGGTGGTGACGTAGGATCAGTCAGGCAACAGGTGGTGACGTAGGATCAGTCAGGCAACAGGTGGTGACGTAGGAACAGTCAGGCAACAGGTGGTGACGTAGGAACAGTCAGGCAACAGGTGGTGACAGTAGCAACAGGTGGTGACGTCAGGCAACAGGTGGTGACGTAGGAACAGTCAGGCAACAGGTGGTGACGTAGGAACAGTCAGGCAACAGGTGGTGACGTAGGATCAGTCAGGCAACAGGTGGTGACGTAGGAACAGTCAGGCAACAGGTGGTGACGTAGGATCAGTCAGGCAACAGGTGGTGACGTAGGATCAGTCAGGCAACAGGTGGTGACGTAGGATCAGTCAGGCAACAGGTGGTGACGTAGGATCAGTCAGGCAACAGGTGGTGACGTAGGATTAGTCAACAGGATCAAGGGTGGTACATGTTAACGCGCTAAACTCCCACCAATATGTCAGGTGAGAAGGGTGTTATCCAGTGTGACACTCACTACCAAACACCACGGGTTTCCCTGTCCCCGGTTACCTCCTGTACTAACACTGGATACACCGCCCAAACGGCTGATGACTGGCTAATATGAATCAACAGAATCAGTCACACCTCTCCTTGACCAATGGATCGATCCTCATTATAAATGGTCTTCCCTTGAAAAATTTATATATATATATATATATATATATATATATATATATATATATATATATATATATATATATATATATATATATTCCTACGTGTCTTTTCTGTGTGTACATATTGTTGTAATTAAAGAGCAGTCGTGTGCGCAGAAAGAAAAATAAGTGGTATAGATAAGGCAAGCCAACCCAAGTTTATAATGGTTATTTTTTTTAAATCGTTGTTTTCTGGTTTTCTCTATACCATGAAAAATATTATTGTTATTTATTTAATGATTTTTATTTATTTATTTATAAGTGTCTTAACTAACTGCTAAAGAAAGTTTAGGTGTTAAACTGTACATTGTTATACCTGTCTGTGATACTTTGTCCTCAGAGCCCTACTCTCCCGCGGGAGTCTCCTCTCTCTTGTATATACAAAACTATAAGTGTGCAAATCGTCAATCCCCACCAGGTGTTGACTTCTTACCGATGCAGTATTAGGTAGTCAAATTCATCATGTGACGTGTGGACGTTCGCATATCACTGAATAGTAGTGTTGTGGCCCATATCGATGTCTATACACAGGTTCTGACCTCTGAATTATTTGTAGCAGGTGAAATACAGGCTTAGATCCTTTACTAGAAGATTTGTTCATCTATCTTTTTTTCATAGTGTCGAGGATTCGTTCATCTATGTTCCCCAATGGCAGAGAAAAATTAACGCACCGTCTAACATTTTCTGAGATGACAACCATGCTGGATGTTACCTAACCCTGAATTACATGTAGGAGGCAACTGGAAATGTCGGGTAAGGTAGAGGAAATTTATGTATTAACTCTGCATCTAGGATTTTTAGACTAACAAGTACTTTAAACTTTTATTGTGTGTGTGCGGGGGGTATGTGAGTGTTTGTGTGTGTATGTGGGTACTTTTGCTGTATATGATGCAAAGTTATAATAACGTTAAGTTGAACGTTATGTAAGGCAGACGTTGATAATGACGAACGAGGTGTATAGGTCGAAGCAAAGATACATTTTATCAATACATTACTAGGATCTATGCCTGTGAACTTGCTCGTGACTAGCTTTTACTAGGTGTTGTAATTACCTTTTTTCATCCTCTCAATATACAGTCTAGCGTAATTTACACTAATTTCTACGGTGAACTGTAGCCTAATTGAACCTAATCAAGATTAGAGGGCGTGAAGTTCGAAAAAATAAGTTGAAAACAAATTAAGGTGTAGATGTGGTTTATCAGATGAAGGTTGTGACGGTAAATTATGTCAGATGATGTAGTATTGTGTTGTAGAATAGAAGAATGTCCTTTTTTAGCGGTTAACAGTGGCAGAACGTTAGTCAAGCGCTCAAAAATGGGAGAATCTCCTAGTCCAACGTTCAACAATGGGTATATGCCCTAACTTTGCCCTTGTTCAGCCTTCAACAATGGGAGAATGCCCTTGTCCAACATTCAAAAATGGTTATATGCGTTCAACAAATATAGAATGATCTAGTCTACTGTATCGCACAATAGGAAAATGACCTTGTCCAGTGCTCAACGATAGGATAACCGTAACTTGGGCAAATTTAAAAATAAAATAGTTTCCAAAGGTTTTGTGGTTAAAGTATTCTAGAAAAGAAAATCAGTTTATGTACAAGGAGTTTCAGTCTCTTGGGGAAATTACACATTTAAAACATATGTACTGTACACCATCTTTCACAGAACATAACTTTATCCTTGAAAATTCTGGACTAATATTTGCAGGTATCATGACTGCCTTTGATGCGTTCTTAAGACAACTTTGCCCGCGGGTAAGAAAATGGCCACAGCGGATAAGGCGAAGAATGATTAGGTATATACCGACGTGTGAATGTGTCTTTTCCTCAATGGGGACACTGTAAACACAGACATCAATGGACTTGTAAACAACCTATAGATACTGATGTGCTAGTATAACAGTGATCTAGAATATCCACGAGCTTACAATGGCTGTCATGTCCAGTTGAGAATCACAGATGAAAAAACACACTTAGCGTAGTGATGTATAGTCTTCATGGTGGCATTAACTTGCACAAAAGTTTTAGCGGTGAATATTTCTCGGCCGAGTTCCGGTGGTGTGTTCACAGGGGTTAACTAACCCAGTTGAATTAGAAGTTAATTCGATTGGCGACAAAAGACAAAACTCAGGCCTTATTACGCATTTCTAACGGAGAACAATGCACCTGTTAATCAAGGCGATGATTGAATATTTCATGGCTCTACAACTTGTCTCATTACGCTTCTATTTATACCAGACTCCTCAGTGTGAATATCTACGGCATGTTCATATGTAAATGGTAATTCCTTTAAGGAGTAAATATTTTATGTGTATATATTCACAATGCATGTAATGTCTGTGTCTTCTTCAACAGATGCCTTCAACTGTATATTTGTGTTTATGTGATCGTAATAATGTGTGTAAAAGGGTTTCAAAAGTGTGATTATTCTTAAAAGCGTTGTTATTTTACCCTGAATATAGTAATTAACATCTTAGTAGTGTTAGTAGTAGTTGTAGTATTGATATTGGTCGTGTTATCAGCAAGGAGATACGGACTTTTTAACATAGACACTTTAAGCATCGTCTTTCCACACACACACACACACACACACACACACACACACACACACACACACGCGATCCTTAAACTTTATTGTATCAACTTAAAACCTTTGATATCACTCCCCTTGAATGCAAACCTTTCAAAGTGGATCTTATATGTCTACGGAAGTTTCATCTAGTATAAATCTTATATAATTATCCTAAGAAAAGAGTTACAATATCTGTATTACTTTGCTCATTTGATATTTGCTTTATTTTCATTATTTGTTTTAATATTTGGTTATTGTGTCTAGTAGTATTAGCCTAGTAATATAAAACTGAATTCTGTTTTAGGTTAATTAGAATACTCTATTTTATTTAATCCTCGGTGCTTTAACATACAACTTTGATCAGTGTTTATATGCTTACTTAAAGACTCAGTGTTACCAGCTTCTGCCTACAATACAACATGAATGTGCCTATATCTACAAGTGTATCTTGTCAGCCTTTCTTGGTGTGGTAAAATTTTTTGTATGTTTCGCAAGTTCTAGTATAAACTTTTTCTGACTTATTGTCTAATAATCCATTGTTATCTACTATGTATATTATGTTCCCACGTATTTTCTTGGGTTTTAGCTAATCACTAGAACTATAATTTAAATTTAATGCTATGGTCGTAAATTTCAGCCGGACAGTCGATTTTTCATTGTAACAACAAAATAGTTCCCTTGTAATGACGTCACATAAGGAACTAATGTTTATTCCTGCCGTCTGTCAAACGTGAGTAGTACAGTACAACAAAAGCGGACAGTACGAGTGGCAAGTTACGGCACCCACGTTATACTGGTGGTGTGAGAGAGATAAATGTACACCGTGAGAAACTATCGAAATGGTGGGAAGGTAGGAAAATTTTCAATTCAATTTCAATTGTTAATCCTTGATAGAGGAAGCGGGATCCTAGTGCTGTCACTAGGTACCCCTGTACAATGACACCAGAAGCATCTGGCAAGTGTGACAAGTATATACAGTATAAATATTATAAAGGGGCTTACTAAAGCCTAAGGAAGGAAGGATATTCCTTTAACACATAATCAATATTATTTACAAAATATCTGGCCAGTATGGGTAGGATCATCGTGTCTCCGTCAGGGGGTCGGGGAGTGGTGGTCCAGCAGGCGTCACGGAAGCGTTGTGTGTGGGGACATCTTAGGAGGTAGTGGATAAGGGTGCGGCTGTCGGGTCTTCTGCATAATGCACAAGAGCGTTGCTCAGGGGATGCGGGGATACCAATCTCCCAAGCAAAGTCATACCCAATGATGATACGGGCAGCAATCACGTCCCCTTTCCGCGACCCTTTCCTGTAGACGTACAAGAGGTCAGGAAGTTTACGGAGGACATCGTACCAGGGAAAATTTTATCTGCGTGAAGTTTCCGATTCTATATGTCTGATCAAGATTCGCAGTCTGTTAATTCCTTACAAATTTCCTAAATACTTTGCGCCGTACGGTATTTCACGTCATTTTTCGTAATAAAAAGTTAACTAGACAAAAATAGGTTTCTCGTCTTCTAGGTATTAATATTGTTTTATAGTGACAACTTGCAGTAATCAAGTGAACTTTATACATTGCCTTACAGCATTCAAGATTTTTTTTAATTCATTACGCCCTTTGAAAACACTATCCGGCTTGAATTTTGGTCAGCTTATGCTGTTTTTGAAAAGCATTTACCTTCAGAAGGCATATTATGTGTGCCTATAGTCCACCAGTGTTAAAAAAAATCAATGAACAGCTGAATGGTAAGACTACACCCGGACATTTAGGTTTACATGATCGGAAACGGCTATCATCTTGTGTACGCCGCTAACTGTGAATGATTTTGCTCTGTCTTTGTCATATTTGATTTCTGCTGCTCGAATTAGCCCCAGATACATATTACGTGATCCGTGACGTCATGTACCAGGCTACTAAGTTTGTTGAGTATGTCATACCTAATACTGAATTACTGTAACTGAACATATAACTACTGAATCTAATCACTATATACCTCGCTGTATTTTTGTCCCACTTTAATCGTGTTCTTATATAAAATCATTGTACAATTATCTTTAGGTGTATTATTAATCTAAACAGTAATGAACGTAAACACTGTAATCATGAATGTAATTGTGATGCTGGTGAATGTTTACTCTTAATGTAACTGAATATATAAATGATTAACTAGCCCTAGCTATAAGAGAGTACAATTCAACATAAAAAAATATTACTTTGAAGTGAAGTTATTTTTTGTAGTGGATAAGTTTCGTTGATATTAAGTATTTATCTTATGGTTAACTAGTCGTAATTAAGCCACTTTACTAGTCCTGTTAATTTAATGCCTATCATAACATCCCATAATGCCACTGCCATTTCCAATCCAATCAGTATTACTGTAGTCTTGACCCGATCATAACATTCTTCATCTCACCACACACCACATAAGCTGCTCACCTCTCACAATTTGCACTTCGTTATTGGCAATCTACTTACTTCTCCATCGCTTCATATTTACAATCTTGCAACCAGATTGAATTTTCATATCTTTATTCATCATCCTTAACCGTCTCATTGTCGTTTTTTGCTGTTTTTCGTTGTTCAAACCTTTAGAAATCACCACTTTTCTTTGTCGAGTAACAGTACTATTTGTACCTTTTGAACGTTACCATATCAGTCTTTATTAACAGCCTTATAAATCTATACAGTTCACTAGTCGCCAACATTTATTTGTCTAGTCAAAACCTCATGATCTTTTACTAGTCAGACTTATCGTTGTACGGTGTTTTGTAGTAAAATTAGACCATGTCCTATGTATAATAAAATGTGATTGGCCGATGCGTTTCTTGGTCAGATATATCTTATTTAGCAACATTGTTTTTCTTTTTTTATACGTTTTAAGAATGTTAAGAACTTATCATTTTGTATTGAGGAGCTCTCGTTGGGCACAGCCTAGCCAAGCGTAGCTTTGCTTATAGGAAATACGTGTACTTAATTCCTACATCCATGCATATTGTCAATCTATTTTATACATCCTTGTATCCATCATTACACAAAACCTCAAGACCTTTAGAATCAGTTTATCCTCCACTTGGTGTACAATTAATCCTACAACACAAGGCTCAACTCCACGGTAAACTAGCACAGAGTCGCAACGTCTTTAAATCCTTAATTAACAAGTCTTAGGATATAGTAATGTTGAGTTTGGGACATATTGTGCGTGTTAAGGAGAGATATATCCTGGATTTCTTTTAGTAACAGTGGTCCATACATGGAAGACGTGGCATCGTGTGGAAGTGTATTAATACCTAACACTCCGTATAAAAACCTCATGTAGTGTAACCCGCTTCCGTACTGTAAGTGGCCGATTTTAAACCTCACATATCTACAAAAATGTACTCATGTAGATATGTTTTATGCATTTTTCAGTACATTATTTTATTATTATGATTTCTCTTGTAAATATCTGAGGTGCTGGTGTTTATCCACCGACAACATTAAGTCTACAAATCAATATTTTGGACTAACAATAGGCCTCTAAAAAAAAATAATAATATTCACTGTTGCAGTAGCAAAAGTAACTTCTGCATATATGTTTTCATTTAATATTTTGACTGATCAACGAGTATTAAGGTAATATAATATGCATGGTAGATTGCCTGATAGCATGGCCCCAGCGCCTGCAGCCTCAGTCGGCTTGCGTGACCCCTGATGAGATTTATACAATACGTCACCAAAGGATGAATATAGGAAAGAGAATATGATTTGTTTATGAATCAAAAGAAGGAAGAGTAAAAAAAAAACGAAAAGGAACACCAGACTTGCGTTAATTAGGTTAAGTAAAATGTCTTACCCAGGAAACTGTAGTAAGACTAGTCTACCACTTTGGTTTCTTAATGAGAGAGCTACAGTCTCTTACAACCTACTGTAACTTAACAGGTCGGTATGGTTTTATAAAAACTGACAAGAGAGCACAATATTTATCTTTAAGCCCACTTTATATTTACTCCGTGTGTATATAATTGTCGAATATACTGCTGTAAACCTACCTGTTTTATCTTTATCCTTGTTAAGACAACAATATGTCTTACAGGTTTACACATATTGTATACTAATAATGAAGATGGAGATAATTAAAAGAAAAAAAATACTTGAGTGAGGTGAACCTTTTGAAGATCAAATGAACGAGTCAAAACTCTCATTTACAGTATGTAAACACAGCATACCGTCCCTATTAGATGAATACTCATGTGATGGAAAGTGTTCAAGGGATGACACCCATCACTGACCTCCTTCCTGCTACAGCCATCACTGACCTTCCTGCTACACCCATCACTGACCTCCTTCCTGCTACACCCATCACTGACCTCCTTCCTGCTACACCCATCACTGACCTCCTTCCTGCTACACCCATCACTGACCTCCTTCCTGCTACACCCATCACTGACCTCCTTCCTGCTACACCCGTCACTGACCTCCTTCCTGCTACACCCGTCACTGACCTCCTTCCTGCCACACCATCACTGACCTCCTTCCTGCTACACCCATCACTGACCTCCTTCCTGCTACACCCATCACTGACCTCCTTCCTGCTACACCCATCACTGACCTTCCTGCTACACCCATCACTGACCTCCTTCCTGCTACACCCATCACTGACCTTCCTGCTACACCCATCACTGACCTCCCTACTACTCACACCTCCTTCCTGCTACACCCATCACTGACCTCCTTCCTGCTACTCTGTCACTGATTCCTGCTACACCGTCACTGACCTCCTTCCTGCTACACCATCACTGACCTTCCTGCTACACCCATCACTGACCTTCCTGCTACACCCATCACTGACCTTCCTGCTCCACCCATCACTGACCTTCCTGCTCCACCCATCACTGACCTCCTTCCTGCTACACCCATCACTGACCTCCTTCCTGCTACACCCATCACTGACCTCCTTCCTGCTACACCCATCACTGACCTCCTTCCTGCTACACCCATCACTGACCTTCTTCCTGCTACACCCATCACTGACCTTCCTGCTACACCTGTCACTGACCTCCTTCCTGCTACACCCGTCACTGACCTCCTTCCTGCTCACTGACCTCCTTCCTGCTACACCTGTCACTGACCTTCCTGCTACCCGTCACTGACCTCCTTCCTGCTACACCCATCACTGACCTCCTTCCTGCTACACCTGTCACTGACCTCCTTCCTGCTACACCCATCACCTCCTTCCTGCTACACCCATCACTGACCTCCTTCCTGCTACACCCATCACTGACCTCCTTCCTGCTACACCCATCACTGACCTCCTTCCTGACCCTCACTGACCTTCCTGCTACACCCATCACTGACCTCCTTCCTGCTACACCCATCACCTGACCTTCCTGCTACACCCATCACTGACTGATCCTTCCTGCTCACTGACCTATCACTGACCTCCTTCCTGCTACAGCCATCACTGACCTCCTTCCTGCTACAGCCATCACTGACCTCCTTCCTGCTACACCCATCACTGACCTCCTTCCTGCTACACCCATCACTGACCTCCTTCCTGCTACACCCATCACTGACCTCCTTCCTGCTACCCCATCACTGACCTCCTTCCTGCTACACCCATCACTGACCTCCTTCCTGCTACACCCATCACTGACCTCCTTCCTGCTACACCCATCACTGACCTCCTTCCTGCTACACCCATCACCCACCTCCTTCCTGACCCTTCCTGACCTTCCACACCCATCACTGACCTTCCTGCTACACCCATCACTGACCTCCTTCCTGCTACACCCATCACTGACCTTACTGCTACATCAATCACTCGTCCTCCCCTACAACCCCCCCAGCCCTGGGACTCCTCCAGCTCCGACCTCTGGACCCTTGGTCGACTTTGACGGGAAAATTACTGTCGCCGTTTTTGCTGCCTGTCAACCTAGACAAAGACGGTGACGGTAATGGGCAGCTAGTGTGATGAGGCTTGTGTTGTGACCTCTTCGCTTCCCTCTGTTCTGCCTTCCTTACTTGATGAAACCGTTATACCTCTCCTTCCCTTCTTTCTCTCTCTCACTGCCCGCCTGTCTCCCTCACTCCATCTCTCTCCTTCCCTCTTTCACCGTTATTATAGTGACCTCCCTCTATCACCGTTTTAATACAGTGGCCTCCTTTCTCCCTCCCTCCTTATAACGGCTGAGCATCTTAAGTAGATGTATCCAAGACTCGTGTCTATGCTTCAAGTATTCCCAGCTGTTGTGTCGAGTAAATCTGTTATTGACAAGTTTATTCGTCGTTTTATAACCCACATGATCCTTGATTAACGATTACATAGACGTCCAGATAAGACTCACAGGTCGAAATTGTAAGCCATTTTACGATTTTCCTTTAATAAAATTGCCTTTACAAACCCCCACTCTTTGCGTTGTATTGGAAATTATTAAGATATCCCTTACCACTAAACTACAATAATGTAAGGCTTCTTATTTCCATATTGGTGACCACTTGACAGAACCGTATAGGAACCGTATTGTATTTTTGTCAGGATTCTGCGGTTCTGACGACACACATCATTCCCTCCTCACTGGAAACTGATCAAAGGGTACTGGCTCAGTACTACATCCACCAAATCACGCCCGTACTCTCTTGCATGTCACAAAAACGATAATATGGGTTGCCGGAGAGAAGCCAAGAAATAATTACGATATGAACTCAAAAGTCACGGGTTTCCTGTTCTATTGTGATCGGGGCAGACTGTCAAAAAGTCAAAATAGGTGTATAAATTACAACGTAAGATAGTTATATTCTCGGTGATACAATATGGTAATTTAAGTTCTGCCACGAAACTATAATTTATAGAGGAAGTTGACCTTGTTATATTAATATCAGATGCTTTAATTGCCGAGCTCTTAATAATCTCACAACAACAAACTATATTGTCTGTTCAAACTTAACGAAAACATGAACGTTTTGAAAACGCACATCGGAGTTGGTACGTGTGTGTGTACAGTATGTCAGTAGAACCTTCAAGTTTAGAAAGTCGGAGACAAGTGTGTGGCTTGTGGCCACAAACTCAGCATGGACAACAAAGGCTCGGCAGGATATCCTTGTGTGGTCTTCCTGTGTCACTGGAAGATCAAAGGGAACTCGTGGCTTCCTACCGTTACATTTTGGGACAAGATTTTTTCCTCAGTATCCTAATATTATTTTAACGAAAATTTCATGTATTATTATTTTGTTTTTACAATTAAATAATATGACCAACATAAGGAAAATAATTTTTTTTTTGTGTGTGTGTAGTGACATGACCTACATTGTGAGAGATAACGTGATGTGCATTTATTTTGTTGTCTACTGTACATAAACTTGTGATCTTTAATCCTCTTCGCCACTGATCGGCTTGTTTGCCGCTTGGGCGATCGGTCACGTCTCTTTTCATTTATCCTCTTCACCAAAAGATCGGCTCGCTACCCGCCCGGGCGATCGGTCACGTCTCTGTCACGCACTGTTGGTAAATACTGGGCATGCACCGGCTCCTGAATGTACCTGAACCCGCTCCAGTGTTGGTCAAGTCTTGTCTTGAAAGAGCTCACACTCGGTGCCGTCACAACACTGGTAGATTGTTCCAAGAGTTTACAACCCTCACTCCGAAAAAGTTTGCCCTCACAGTTTTCTGGACTTGCGGCTTCTTCAATCTTGAGCTGTGACCCCTTGTGGGGCGAGCGTCCGCCAGCTCCAAGTAAGGACACTCGACCCAGTAGTGCCCCCTGAGATGCTTATACACCTCAACTAGGTCCCCAGTAAAGGCTGACCAAGGAAGAATATACGTAATAAATAGTTTATGTTAAAGATAAATATTGAACTTTTAAATCTGCGAGTTATGTGTTGTCATTTGGGTTCTGTTGAAAACTTGGCGGCTGTTTTAAGTCTTACAGCTTATCCAAGTTATATGGCGTAGCTGTTATTGGCATTAAATGTTTCCCATAAAAAAAATTATAATCCAATACATTTTGTATGATTTTTTTTGTTCTTTATATGCGTCATATTGCAGACAAGACAACTTTTGCTGAAGTTCATTTACTGGATGGACGAGTACGCACAAGTACCCGTAAATGGAAATAACACAAGTACCCGATGGAAATAACGTGAAAAGGGAATAATAAGAATAACGAATTATAGTAATGAAGATAAAGAATTAATTAGGCATAGAAATGGAAGAAAAGAAGTAAGCAAACTCCGCTTAATTAATATAATATTCATACACAATACAACAGGTTCCATTATAGTATCCAAACTCATACTAACGTGAACATTGCCAGCGACGTCACTCGGGTAAAAAGTTTGCCATGTACAGGTAAATGATAAAATGGATACACAAACTGACAAAATGATAGTACCTGTATACTATAAAGTAGGTTATAGCTGGGGATACAGTATGACAGTGTACTGGTAGCTGTCATCACTGTCATGGCTGTGTTTACATTTGAGATCGGTGAGAGGGTTCATGTTTGTGGTGATTTATTTTTCCTTCGAACTGGCTTTTTCGCGAATATTCTTGCTGAAAACCCTTTAATGTCGCTCCTCAAATAACCCCCACACAATATTACACACACTTCTGCAGCAATGACCCCACCTTTGCCCCCAGAATGGATTGCAGTAAACAAAGAATGGCTTATTCAAATCATTCTGATGGCACAAGACGAGCGAAAGTTCGATGGCCACGCCTCCTCCTCCTCCTCGTTCCCGACTCCCGCTCCTATTCCCTGGCTCGCTTTCGTGGACTGAACTTGCTGCCCGTGTCACTCACTATTCAGCGTCAGTCGAAGCAGTCAGTTGCCCGCTCATGGTGGTACAGTGAAGGTGTGATCTTCCTGCTGGGTGACTTGGAGACTTCAGAACAGCTTTCAAGTGCCATTCTATCACAAATAATCCCCCGTCATCATACAATACTTTAAAGGGATATCATCTGCTCCAGTAAAATACTTTACTGTTAAATCACCAAGATGGCGCTGCTGGTGACAGGTTAGTGGTGGCCAAGTTCACCCTGAAGTAACCACACAGGAACGTGAAAATTTTCTTAACACGTACAATATACAAGTAGGCTCGGTGTGTAGGTTTATCTCTGACGTTCTTGAGCGTTCTAACATTGACAAGACTGACGCTTACAATCTCTGAATTGTTAATAATCAAAAAGATAGTTAAACAACAACAACCCTCCCTTTAATCTTTATCAAATAATTTGAGAGTTTGGTTTGTTGCCATAAACTGTTGTGCTGTACATGGATTTAGTTTGAGCAGTAGCTTTCCTCCCTCGCCCAGCTGCATCCCAAAAGTTCACACAGTACTTAACGTATGATATAAGAATGAACCAAACTGGGTGTTTTAGCTAAAACGGGAAAGATTCAGAGAAGGTCGAAAACGGAGCTCTATTTTGATTTGGGTAAATTTTTACTTTAGGACACGAGTCCCTAGGGATTGACCAATATGTTTTTCCAGTGTATTTTGGTGTATTTTAAACGAATCTGATCTTCATATTTGGCTGAACGTGCTTCTCCCCCCACACAATTATGGGGGAGTGCCTGCAAAATCAGGGTTTTTGGATGGGGGAGAAAACGAAAACGAGTCCTCTAACCTAACTTAATCCCTAGCCGGGGGGCCCTGGTAGGCCTAGCTTAAACTAACCTAAATGTTTCAGTAGTTAAAAACTTTGGGGCACTCCTTGTCCGAAAGTACAATACCTTAGTTAGAAGTGGAAGAACCAGGGATACGTAAGAATTGGATAGCTTGATCTTCTTCCTCGTAAAACTCGGTAATAAACTTAAAATAAGCGTAGGAGCACAAATGAAAACCGACCTCCACCACGGCCATTGTCAGATTCTGAGACTGGTCAGTGTAATTCCCCAGGACAAAGCCCACTGGCTGCTTCCTTTGAAAAAAATCAATTGTGATTGGTCGAAAAAAAATCGCGTGACGATATCGATACATCATTGGTCACGACTGGATGCCGTCATCAATATTGCGCCTGTGTGATGCGCCAATAACATCTACTCACAGAAGAAGACTGAAAACTTCGTAAAAGCAATTAAATTCATTGTGTCGCTATTATCCATTTCCGCCATGTATATATGGGGTTCAAAATGCTCAGAAGAGCGAGGTCTAAAATGTTTCAGTAGTTTATAACTTTAGGGCGCGCTATGTCCTAAGGTAAAATAATACCTTGATTTGTATATAGGGAGAGTAAAAATTATTATATATATATATATATATATATATATATATATATATATATATATATATATATATATATATATTTCGTTATTAAACGTGCAATCAGTAATTTTGACAATTCTAAGACACTTTAAATAAATTTGCAGTTTCAGCCCCAACTACTGTTCGATCATAAATTTTTGTTGGTCTGATTCATACGAATTTGACCTTCATTTCTGTTGGAAATGAGTAGTTTTTGAGAAAAAAAATTCTATCAATTGAGTGTAGTGAACTCTGGAATTCTGTGGTTGCTGTAAACGGCATAATTACCCTTATTTTGATATCTGGTACTAGATTTACATGAATTCCCATGCAAAGTTACCATCTTGGTTATCCATTTGCGACAGAAGTGAACCCATTTGGGAGTGAAACTGCAATACCCACTTTTCTTCAATGGCATTTCTTATGCAAATTATGTATGAGATATTTAATTAACATTTTGTTTATTTATATATATTTTTTTATTTTTTTATTTATTTTTTTATTATTTTTTATTAATTTTTTTTATGTATGGCAGTGCACACCCAGAACATTGAACTACTGTGGAGCTCCCCTGGTTAGGTTAGATTCAGAACTTTTCAGATGATTTTGTGTTATGAACACTTTACCTTTATTTTTATAGCAAATCCTAAGATTCTGAAACTACTGTATTGATTTGCTCCAGAAATGAAGGTTTAATTTGTTCACAACATTAAAAACCATCGGAATAATGTACTTTCAACTTTGATTTCGTTTAGTGGCAACGAGTGAAAATTTACCTCTTCAATCTTTTTTTTTTTTTTTTACTTTTTATTTCACTTAAAAATGCAGTTTTTATGGCACAAAGTGGGCAGGCTTTGAAGTAGAGGGAAATTGTGGGATAAAAATGCGCAAAAAATTGCAAAATCAAACCTAACCTATTACAGAAAATTTTAACTAGTGTAATATTTAAAAGCAGGTGTCCAGGTTTAGGAGCTGAGTTAGGAAACTTTTCATGAGAAGAAAAGTTTTTCAGTTTATCAACAACATCCTATAAATGGTGAAGGAAATTAGTTTTTGCCAAACAAAAAGATCATGATGAACCTAACCTGACAGCTCTAAATAATTATCAGTTCAACTATATATGTCTAATCTAACTAGAGAAACCACATGTCTGCAGTAACCTAAACTAACCCAACCTAATTTAACCAAATATAATTTCCTTTGCATCATAAAAATAAACCTTGGTCTCACAAGTTACATCCTTGCCCGGGACTGCTTATTTTAGGTTTATGTATTATTATACCTGTATACAGTATTGAGAATAATCTTTACTTAAATCATTGGGTTTTTATGTACTTTAGTGCAAACCTTTAGCAGCATTTGTAAGTCTGATAACATACGGTATGTGTTTCATAGACAGATTAGGTACAGTATCCATCAAATACGGGGCATTGTTGTTTCTTCAGCTTAAAAGCAGCCATTGAGTAAATAAAAATATGCATGTTTAGAGAATCTTGGCTTCCGCATGTCGATTACTTTGATCTGTATGGTACTTGAAATGATTTGCATTTTGATAATCCATATATTTAACATTATTTTAGATAATAACAGGTCTGCTTACCAATTGTGAACACATTTAGTTTGAATTTTTTTATGAACGGATGAGCTATTAGTATAGAAGAGGGGCAGGGCCTACAGGTCAGGTTAGTGTGGCAAGGGTATAGTCCTACAATTGTAATCGGATTGACTTCAGGTTTAGAATATCTGATTCTCGTGGTGCTCCTATTGTTTGGGTGTTACGATTAAATGAGTACAGTAAATGCAGTTATTACCTTTTGACAAGATAGCTGTTCATTGGATGACAAATTAAATCAGGTTGTTATTACATTTAATCTTCTCCTGGTGTGTTTGTATTGAAATTTGGGCAGTGTTCCATCATAATGAAGTCTTGAGTCATGAAAAAAACACATAGATGTTATAAGCCTTATCAAGTCTTTTCTAATGGTGGAAAAAAAAAGGTTTGACAGTGATGATGATGATGGTGGTGTTGATGGGTGAGGTGGACGCAGCACTAATGGCCATGAGAGAAACCCCTCCAACATCACCTGCCACACACACCCTGACAGTAATGGACCCACCACACTACAGCCTGTACCAGAGGTGAGCACAACACTTACAGATTTTCGAGATTATAGAAGTTAATGTTTGATTCTGTTTGGTAAAATTTTCTTGGTTTAGTAAAATTGACTATACGGTACATAATTAGATTCTTTAGGATTGTATTTTTAAGAGCTGGGTAGTAAAAAAAATATGACAATTTATAATAATAAGTTTGTTTACTGACAATTGGGTGCATATAATATACCAAGGAATCTGAGATAACAGTGAACAAGAGTTTATAAGGAGTTAAAATGTAAGAATAGATGATCGTATACTGTAGAGACTACAGGAAAACAGATTTGTGTGGACAGTCTTGCTTTGTCAGTTAATATTTTATTCAATATAGAAATGGAAGTTAAAATTACTTAGGAAATTGGACTAATATGATCAGATTTGACTCGAGACCTGCTACTCTTGATTTGTAACTTGACTTGGGACTCCTATTTCTGGCTTGTGTCTTCGTTGAAATAACGCGTCTTTTTTCCCCCCCCCCCAAGTTTATGTAAATGTGCACGTGAACTAGTTTAATGGTTTCTTTTGAATTCACACATATAAAAAGTGAAGAGAAAGCACCATCAATAAAAGCACTAATAAACTCAAATACTCCAGGCACACATTAACTTTCATTGAAAAAGTTCTTAGATTGACTTTGATTCTACCGTATGTCACTTCGATTATGCTTGTTCATATGGTACAGTATAGTGGTCTTACAAAGTAATTGAAGGTTAGGGTGCAGGTTATGTAAAGTGACATACAGTATAATAGTAAGATACACACCTAATACTCTGCCCAGAACACACATCAGTTTTAAAAACTTGTAGTACAGTATAGAGCAGAACAGTTTTAAGTAGATCGTACTGTACAGTTTGTATAACTTCATCATGTAGAAGTAGATTATGATCATCATAATTATAGAACAAGAAGTAGTAGTAGGGACTTCTGCATTGTTCCAGGGGTACAGTAAATGGTTTTGGTAAATGTACTTTTGTGCATACTATACTGTACTGTGCGAGTATTTGTCTATGGAATGATCTGCCACTCACTCAAACAATGGCAAACTAATTTTATTTATTTATTTTTATTTTTTAACTAGCAAGGACAGTCAGTCTTATGCTGCAAGTTAGGTGCTCAAAATCAAATTGTGTTTTCCTTAACCTTGCTCTTTGCAGTCATTTTGAATTTTGCCAATTAATGAAATAGTGTGAAACTTGCAGTGGAATACATAGACTGGTAAGCCATTATTTGTTATGCTGAACTGTACACATACTGAGGGTAATGCAAAGGGAGATCCAGGGGGTCCAGATGCCCCCTTTTCACCAGAAAATTCCAATACTTTTCTTTAATGCAGTATTGTACTCGGGCATTTTTGTAGAGTAAAGATCATTTACTATTGACTCGCTGCACTCGCCATGTTTCCCCACCCACAACTTCTTCGACCCCCCCCCCCACACCTTGATATTCCTGAATCTGCCCATGTAATTATGAAGCAAGATAGTAAAGTTAATATGAAATAAGAGGATATTCTAAATATTCCTAGATTTGTTGATCGTTGTGTGTTTCTACAGTTATTCTAAATGCTCTAAGAAAAAATTAACTTCCAGGGTGGATGTGATGTCCCTGGACCAATTGGTTATGTTTGCAGGCATGGTGCAGCCTTACTCCTGCTGGTGTGCTAACTCAGACAACTCTTGTCCTGTCCACATCCCTGCAATTCCACTGCACAGAGTAAGTGTTATTTACTCTTGGTTAGCACTGGTGGTCTTATGTTCACCTGTCTATGATGGAATTTTGGGAGTTTCAGATATAATTTTGAACATAAATCTAGTTTTGAACAAGGGTTAATTATTTTGAATATGAATGAGTTTTAGTTGGTTGACATATTTTGACTCGTGTAGATTCAAAATATTGGCTTCCCTTGTGTATTGTTCACAAGTATGTGTGTTATTGTGAAAACTTTCATTGGGACAATATTCTCCTGCAATTGGGTGGATTATAAAGGATTGACCATTTTGGTGAATTGTCAGTTCTGAACATGTAAAGGCTGTAGCTTTAGTTATTCTCTGCTTGTTGTATTTGATCAGGATTTGGGATCATTGTTCCACTTAATTTGTGGCAATGATTACATACTTGTGTCAGTTTTCAAGCCACTTGTTGCATTTATCCTTTAGTTGGGGAAATCTAATGTTACTGTTAGTAGCCAACACTACATGAAGTGCTCAGCTGGCATGTTTGTCTATACAGTATAAAGAATTCAAGGAAGCTTTTGCTCATAAAAATTGTTGAGCTATGTCAAAAGTCATGTGACTTTTGTTTCCATTGTCATATTACTTGTTGAGGAATTTGTGTTTTATGACTGATACCCTGTGCAGTGTGATGGATGAAAATCAACACTTTCTAACACAAAAAAAGGGTCAGTCAAAATTTAAATTAATGCGTAATAAGTGTACAATACTTATGTTTTTACAAATCCATTTTTGTCTTAACATTTACTTCAAAGATCAGTTCTGTAATATCACTCAGATCTATGTTAAATCATTTTCTAATGTGATTTGGTCAGTTCCATGTAGACAATTTAATATAAAGTGCAGAATCTGATAGTATTACAGTAGTGTGAAAGGAGGAATGCAATTGTAGTACAGTACATGTATATATACATGAGGGGGGAAAAATGAATAAAGTGTTTGAGTTAGGTGGTGATGGAGGCTGCAGAAGACAGTGTGGTGGAAAGAGGTGTGTGAAACAGAGGCATTGTAGATAAGTAGATACAGTTGAGCAATTAGGCACTATTTACATTCTCATTCCTAGATTCAGTAAAGGAGTTTCATAATACAGAATTTTGTGAAATATGCTGTCCTCTCTCATTGGGGGTACATTTCATTGGTATAATAATAATATTAGAGCCTGCAATTTTAAGTAGTATGAACATTAAATATACTGATAAGCAACACACAGCTAAGGTTTTATGTACAGTACTTTGCACTTAAAGTTTAATTGATGACATAAACTCCCCTAGACTCTATATGTTCTTTATATTTGTTAAGGTGCTGAAGGTAACTTGTGGGTACCTGAATATCCATTGCTGTCTGGAGCGAGTGAAGGCCAAGAGTAAGGAAGATTGGCCCTTCGCTGCTGCTAACATCACTACTTCACAAGAACTTGAAATTTTTTTCGATTCTCTTATTGACATCCTCAAGCCTCAGGAAATATTGTTGAATAACACACTTGGAGATAGTGAAGTGTTAAATCAGGTAAGTCATTGCAACATAGGAACTGAAAACATTGTTGCTGGGTGGCAAAAGAAGACTTAAGGGGAGACTTAAAACATGTTTCAATATTAATAACTTTAATTAAATAGAGGAATATTACTCTGAACATTCCACTAATGTCACACAATTACAGTGCTTACTTTCTACCTGCACAGGGAGCCTCCCATAACCCAATCTATCCCAGTTCTCAACAAATCAAGAACAATATCTTCAGTGAGGAATATGATATTCAGGGGAAGCCAGATAATGATTCTGTCAAGAAGAGGCAAGTAGATGTCTTTGAATTAGTTCTACTTCTCACATTAAAGGGTGTGGCAGAGTACATGATGACTCTTACAGCACAGCCACGCATGATAACCCCATCCTTTGGTGACAACAGCCCTCCTTCTTTCCACGACAACGAAGTACAGGTACAGTTAGATGAATATAATTTTCCATCGAGTACAACAAATAATGTTATTTCCAGCACTCAAAAAAATCCGTTGACTAATACAGATATATACAGTGTGAGTAATGATTTAAGTGTAAAGGGTGATTTTGTTGTGCCCTACAGTAATTTAGGATGGTTCTCCAGAGTAGTTGAGGTAGCAATGGATGGATCAGTGTACGTTGGCCTGTTGTTAACTGTAATGTTTTTTGCTGCAAAAATTCTCACGGGTGCTTTGTCCATATTTGGAGAAACTTGCTTAATTTGTACCATCATTGGTTATGTTAATGAGACAGGCATTTCTTAAAAGTTTCCAAAATAACTCTTTACTTCATTAAATACTTACTACCATACTATACAAGCACAAGGAAATCTTTCCCCCACCTTACTTTCTTGTTTCAGTAAGTCTCGTTATCTGAACCAGTAGCACTTCCTTCTTGACTAATTTGACCTTTGATTGTTTCGTACTAGCAAGTGGAAAATTCTAATGTCTTTTTTTTGTTTCGGGCATTTCCAGAAAATGTCCTGTTTGTTGTAGCTCATTTAATGTTTTGTTCACAGTTGCTTTCACATAAAATCTTGGGTCATGATGGATGATTTTATTCAGTTCTTCATTTTTCCTTCATATTTTACACATTTCATAACATTTGTAGCTTTTTTCTAATCTTTTTAATCTTTCACTATCCAATTTCAGCTGGAAAACAAATCCTGGAATTTTAAGCCATTAGAGTTAATGTTTGAAAGACATATATGAGGATATTTTAACCCTATTGGTTTCTATAGCTTGTGTTACATTGGCAAGAAAAGATGCAGTCACATCTAACACAGCTGTCACTGAGAAGGCATCACTAATCAGTCAATCATTGTCATGGATTAATATGTGACACTAGAAGCCAGCAAGTTTCCTTGCCAGTGAGGTGGAGCTCATAGAAGTCCTTGTTTGCTTGCTTCCCTCTCATTCGCACCTCACTTCTTCCCTTGTCTATTTTTCTCTCCTCCCTGTGTGTGTGGATCATACTGCCCTCTCCATTGCCAAATCTAGGCTTCATATCTACTGTCTTATGGCGTGAGGATCTTTGTGTATTTTATCTCTGTTGTCTAAGTGCCTTTTTCAGCCTTGTGTGATATGTATGTGCTCATTATGTGACTTATGCACTCTTGCCAGTGGACCTTTATCATGATGAATTTACTAAGTGACACCAGGCCCAAAATCTTTACTTTACTTACTTTAGTGAGCACCATTATACAGGACCACCAGTGATCTTATTCCTGTGTCTATTTTGTCATTTAATACTTTAAATTCTTGTGAAACTGTTCTTACCTGGTGTAGGATCGATATTTTGTCATGGCGCAGTCTATCCAGTTGTTGTAATTTGTATGTACGGTTTGTTTATATATTTAGTCTTAAGTATGATATGTCGAGAGTCTGTTAGATGTGAAATCCCCATCGAACAGATTACACGAAGAGAGAAGTATATTATATGGAGGTTTCATAGTAGCTTACAGTTTTGGTCTTTGTTCATTATCCCAAGCAATATAATCAGTTGCTACAGGATCTCTCCTACAAGAGCTCTCCACCGGGGTTGCTGATAAGCAAAATGATATGTTTTTAATTACAGTGCATGATGTACCTTGAATTTGTGATTTGAGACTAAAGGGTCACTGGGGTTAGCAGACCTGTTGGTGATGACTGATAAGAATGTTAAGATAATATGATGTTTACTATAAAGCTTTATTAACCATTAATGATTCAACCACAGAGAAATTGCACTTTACACAACTCACTTCCTTAAATATTATCAAGTAATAATCTAACTATAGATAAAAACAAAATATACAATAATATACATAATTTGCACATATTTGTGTGTTGCACTTCAGTTCACTTATTTACTTTGCATAATACAGTAGACTGAATCTTTTTGACTTTACAAAACCTGTATGTGTGTTCATGTTGTAGGCACATTAGAAAAAGGCAAAATGACATCTACGTTGTACAGTACTTACAAAATTTAACTTTGAAACATTAAACCTTAGTAAGGGAAAAGCTCAGTAATGAAAGGTTAGATTCACCAATTGTCACCAACAACATTGCATTTTTATTATATGGGTACAGTACTTCATTGAAACTACGACTGACAAACACACAAAGTAAACCTCATTTAAAATTTGTAACATATTTTACTTAAAAGAAATATATAATAAATATTATATTTTTAATACAGAAATTCCCCAGAGAACTCCTTAACTATGGGGACACCACTTTTAAAATTCTATGTAGCTAACACCAGACTATTTTATTCACCTAAGAGGGGATGCAATACACAAAAGGTTAAACTATTTAATACTATGAGTTATAATCAAAGTTGATTCTTGTCCCCATATTAACCTTACATAATATTCAATGTGGTAAGAGAAGACCCTATGGCATATTGCACATGACAGTTTCAGTGATTCCTATACCGGACACTTTTTCTACACCTATATGAATCAATATTTCATCACTTCAAAATCTGCAAAATGCTTGTTTTATAGTGTTTGTAGTGTGACAGGAACTCACATGTTTATCTAATTTCCCATCAACATGCATTAAGGCATTGAAGACTGCAGCATAAATACTGCCTCAACTGTTTTCTATACAACTGGGGGTACTGTACCTCCCCAACCACAATTTTATTTAAAAAAATACAGATACACTTCATACATTTGTTGATTAAATCAGTTATAAAAGACTTATTAATCACAACTTAATGCTTTACCATAATATCTATCTTTTGTAAGTTTTTTATTCATTTAATAATCAGGCTTGAGAATAGTGTCAGGTGTGGTACGTGTAAACCAGTATGTACTTCACTAAAGGGGAGTAATTACTTATCATGGTTTCAAAAGTTTTCATTCTATCATATTGAACTTGGTTTTACAGTAATTTATTAGTAGTTAAGAAAGTTAACAACATCTAAGCCTTTTCTACTGAGTAAGGTCAGCTGTGCACCATCCCTTCATGTGTATACATCTTAGTACCCAAATTCTTCACTTAATCATTATTAATTTTATTTGAGATGAAACTTTATAATAGAAATCCTTTAAAAACAATAAATTTTGGTCTTCATGTAATACAGTACCGTATATGTCGGCATACAAGGCCACGGGGAGTAGAAGACAACCCCCAAATTTCCATTTTAAAACATAGGTTTTGAGCTATACAGTACTCGCTGTATAAGACTGCTGCAAATCTGACACTTACCACTGGGAGCTTACTGCTGCCCCAGTAGTCCTTTACCAACCATCCCACTGACCAGTGGAGTGATGCTGTTAAACACACTGCTAAGCAACACATCCTTGGTTATTTAAAATAAACCAATTCACTTTAAGTAATGGCATCAAACGTTACCAGTTTGTGTAGTGTAAACACTAGTGACGTCACTTAGGCGTCGGTTATTTTACTGGAACTAATGTCGGTGTTGAGTAAAATTTTACTATTTACCTGTACCTGTACTTGAAATAGATTTACCGATTTATTTGTTTATTTATTTATTTATAATATACTGTCATATATTAGAAATGTAGACATCAAATACACTGCAGGTATTTTCTTTAATTTATAAACTTGCTTCATGAGACGATCGGTTAAAGACGGCTGTTTGTTTACTTCGGCGGCAGTTGCAAATGGCGGGCAGTGCGTGATGATACCTGCCTTTATTATGTTATTTTATGGTGTTTACACTATGTTAAACAGGTTTATAATACATTTTTATTATTTTAATATACACATTAAACCACAGGATGTAGAGGTTCAGATTTTATACCTGACGTTTAAGATGACCCCTAATTTTAGGCTGATTTTTTCAAGGTTCAAATTCCAACACATGGTAATTATAAATGAAGTAATTAATCATATTATAGATAAACCTCAACAAGCGATGTCTCATTCAGCAATACTATTCCGCTTTAACAATGGTCATGAAATCAGACCATCCTACTATTTACAATAAAAAGTTTGCTTTAATAATATCCACTGGTTGAAAATCTTTTTGTTTATCTAGTGCAAACTATGGGTTGTATGCACTCAAATTAATCACTGTCTTACAAGGATTTCAGCAATGCAAATTATATTTTTCTTTGTCAGCTCAGTGATATTTTATAAGGAAACAATATTTAACCCTTTGCACCACCATAGGTAACACATCTCTGGCTGCATTTGTCAGCCGCAGTAATATCTACCCACACACTAAAGTCCTGTGTTTGATTTTTGTCAATCACATCTCCCTGCCATCGCATAGCTCCATGATTATAGTTCAGCATCATTGGCTGTATGTACACTACTTATCATTGATGTTTTTTTCTTATAGTGCGAGGACAGCAGTAACATTTAGATTGAACTGTGTTTTGGTGACTGGGTCATCCTAAAATCCCAGTGTTGTCATTAAAATGATTCACTTCAGCTTGTTTCCTCCTTAATTTATGTTTATTCAACAAGGGTTACAAATACCTTCTATTTACCTTTAACAGAAAGATTAGAGTTTCAAGATAAAATAGTGAAACAAACTGAAGATAAATATTATATTAATCACACGAGCTCTCATCCTATTTATTGAAAATAGTCATCAGAAATTCAAAACTGCAAGAACTACAGTAAAGACCAAAATTGTTAACGAAGCTTTTAAACCATGACCTATACTGGCTTAGAAAAAACACTGAATATGGAAATTGAAAGCTGCTATAACAAAATTCATTGTTCGTTTATTGTTCCATAATATTAAGTGTAAATGTATATAATTCTCAATGTAAGTGATGACTACTTACACTTAAATTACCATTCATTCTATGTTCTATTGCATACCTTACATTATTTTAGTAGTGGTTGTGATCAGTTTACAATAAACTAGTAGTCTTTTCTTTACAAAATTTATTAAATATTTAACAAAATGAATTCTTGGTTTTACATCTCATTCTGTTTTAATAACAAGAATGAAATTTGCTTCAATTACTTTTACTCTTATATTTAATATCTACTGCATCTAGGGCGGTGTGGGAGGGGGAAGAGGGCTATAAGTGATAATTGAAGCACTACAGTATAAACATTATTGACATGTGCATAAATCACAAATCATCTTATGGAAAAAAATATATATACACAATATCCTTTATATAAGCCTTATGGATCTCCAGTGAGTTTCCTTATTTAATTTCTTCTCCCATGTTGGAGGAAAGGGATATTGCATAGTTGAAAGTCATCTCTAAATTCAGAGTTTTTGATTGTGAAAAACTTATACTGTATACATGTAATTATATTCTATTTACATATGTTAAAGTATTAGTTTATCTTCTCTCTTGTTTTCTTAGAAATACTCATATATTGTTGAGATTTATAAAATTATTAACAAAAACACACTTAAAAATTCCCACTTAACAACACAAAACTTTGTCACATAGGTCACTGGGTAGGGAAATCTATTTTGCATGAGTCATTGGACCAACTGCCCTGTGTGAAGTTAAAACAAGACCCAAAATGCAGTACTGTACTGTATCATAGAATAGTGTACAGTGTTTTGAATGCAAAGACATCTGATAGACAAAAGTTGCAGTATAGTACTTCAGTTGGAAACAGCTTTCAAGTCTTCCTTTTTTATTGTAACAGCATTCATTCTAATCTTAATTTGGAAACTTTCTAGTGACAGACTACCAACAGTTATATATACACTGTACCTGTACTACCATAACTTAAGATCAAGATCTCGACTATTTTTCTAAATATTCTAATTAATTACATTAACTACAGTCATGATGTAACCTATTGTAAAAATTATACGCCATAATAAAAAAAAATCACAATGTTAAATACAACCAATATACAGGTATCCCTTGTTTAGCATTAATTCGTTTTAATGATAAAAATTTTTGACGCCCTTTCTCGCTTAGTTAGTCAAAATTTGGTTTAGCGATAGCTTAACTCACTGGGAAGGGGGAAATCTGGGGATTTTGTGCTCCGATTGCACATTTCTACTGTCCTTATTTACAGTATGTTTACCCGCACGCCATCTATTGCGTCCGCCATATACATGATATGTACTGCCCCACCCCTGTCATTTATCCCTCGATTTGCGATAATTTCGTTGGTTAGGTTTTTTCAGCAACACAACCCTATCGTTAAGTGAGGGATACCTCTACAGTAAGTAGGGGATTAATGAATGATAAGAAAAGTTTATATATCTCTATGGCAGCTTTTTAAACATCTCTGAGATCTCTAAAACTACTTTACAGATTATTAATATAAAATTTTTTATTAAGATTTGTTGCCGAGGAAATCAAATAAATTTTTTTCTACATAATTTAATTTATGGTTGAATAATATAACCTAATTTAGGTAAAGAGGAATTTAAGGATCTCTTCAAGTAAATCATTATGTAAGGTACTTGAAATCTCTGAGTGTTCCCTACAATACAACAATCCATATTCGAAGTCATTTACATACACTGCACTTGTTAAGGTTACATATTCATCACATGACCATTAATCAGGCTAAGGGTTTACATTTCGTTATAAACAAGTGACTGCTGAATTTCAAAATACCTCTCACATACGTTACTTTTTCCCTCGGATGTAAGCATGAACGTAATAGCATCTTGTAACTAAAAAAAAACTCAGGCAAGTCATACAGCATGTGCATATTTATATTGGAACGTCCTACATTATTTATTTACAAGTTTAACAAAAGATATCTAGTGCACATCTCATTCTATAAGTACTAAAACCTGATTTACCATAACTGGCAAACAACAATGTATCTAATACACACTACACAAGACATGACATCATTCTAATTAGTCATGGCACGCCACAAACATTCATGCTGTCTCCTCGAGTGTCAGTAATATAATTATGATGACTATGAAAACAACTTAGAAAACAAAGTTACTGGTGAATGCTATCATTACATGCAACATCTTGCATACTGTACTAGAAACATAAGCTTCATAGGAACTTGTGGGAAATATCATAATCAACAACCTGGACATCCAGGTAAGAAAGCCTGCACTTTTAAACCCTTCTAAAAATTTAACCTATTCTATAGATTACAAGAATGGTGTATGACAATACAGATGATAATATGAATGAAGAGACAGTGAGAACAGGCAATGATAAGTCGGGGATACCTAAACTGCAGCTCACGGTACCTTTGATGTCCTGCCACGCTGTACGGTGACATACCAGACAGGAAAGTACAGAAGAAAACTCAGTTACTATATGATTTTTTTTGCTAATTCAAAACGGTGAGTTTCTTACAAAAAAAAAATGTGTTTTACTTTGCTTTTCCCTTCACTGAAAGGAGTGTCACTATTTTGTCATGAAATTTTATGACATGATACTGGGAGAAAAAGTGAATGGAAAATTTGCAGTGTTTACTATTTCACAATAACAATATTTGTCAAATTCCTCTTTAAAAATGGCATTGCTTCACTAAATAATGACAGTATCAACTTGGAGGCCTGTAAAGGCTACTTTAAAATTCTTAAGTTTCATACAGTATTTGAAAATCAATTGTTCTACCTAATAATAACAATAAAATACCACAGAAGTACATAGAGAATCTTAGTGAATAGTTCTTGTACCCTCAAGAAAATGTTCACACTTAATACTCTCCTGAGAATGATCCTGTGGAATTACCCATTGGTAATATCCCATAATATTTACGGGTAAAGCTAACCTTATATCAGCGCTTGAAAAACAGTCCTTGCATGTAGCAGCCGCATACAATCTTCACTCAGCGATGCCTCTCTCACTTGGCAGCAGACTGAGCCTTCTCTGCCTCCTCAGCAATAACTGTGGGCTTTGGAGTGAAGTTGGTCACCTCTTGATATACCAGTTCTAAGGAGAGAAACAAATCTTGCAAACTTATATCTTCTTCTTGTGGCTATTACACAAAAAACTGTTAGTTGTTCCATACCTACAGAACTCTTAGTTACTGTACAAGGTCTCACTGCAATAACATACTCTTGACTGCTTTTTGCTTCGCTCCATGACATTCCAATATCAATCACAATATTACAAATTCTTTGGCATAATACAAACTCTTCTAACCCCTTTTATAAACATTAAAAAGTTCTAAACATTATGTCCCTAGATTGACCACCAATACCTACCTTTCCATTTTTCTGTAGGTAATTCCATATCCTCAAAGCTCTGATCATAAGGCTCACTGTCAGGTTCATCTGAGGGATCAGCATACTGAGCCAAGTATGGGTGTGCCAGCGCCTGCACTGCTGTCACCCGCCGCTCACTGTCCAACTCCAACATCTTCTCCAAAAGATCCACCGCTGTAATTACACATCTTGTTAATGTTAACATTGCTTGTCCCCTACAAGTCAGAGAAACTTCTGTTTCAATATGGAGTGATGATGAATAATTACTGTAGTATCACATTGACTCGCATTACAGTAGAGTATATGATTGGAATACGTTCTTTGAATATATAGCAAAATCAATTTTTTTACCAAAAACATAAGTCTTATACCTTAGTAATTTTTTAACCAAAATAGACTTTTCTCTCGGAATTGGAATTTGAGGGGTTTAACCAATTAATTACTTCCAGAAGAACACAAAAACACCAAAATCTCACCTGGAAAACCCATAGTTGGCTAGTAATTAGCATTGAAAAAGTCCTAAAAATACTCCAAGCCTCATTAAGGCCACTAATTACCCTCCAATCGAAACGAGGATCATAGATTTGCAATCAGCATGCTCAGGAGTATATATATATAGTCAACCCTCGCTTTACGCGGTCCCACGTTCCGCGTTTACGCGGTACCCTGCCGAAACCGGAATGCTCACATTCCGCGGTGCGTGTACCCCTTTACTTGGAGAGCGGCTGGCGAGCCGCACCATTTTTGGATCCAAACCTCCCGCCATGTTGTGTAAGCGGTGCAAGCAGGGTGCGCACAAGGTCGCCCAGTCATCAAAACATTACCGAGTTCTTCACCCGCCACCCACCACAGCCGGCCAAAGTCAGTGATAGTGATAATTATAGTGAGGATATGGACTTATATGGACTTTGAGGGGTTTGACAAAGAGGCCCTGCAAGCCTCTGTGGTGGATAGTGATACAAGTGATACAGGTGAGGGCCAATAATCTGCCCTCTGCCTCGGAACCAACCCCCCCGTGTGCCCAGCCATCTTTTCTACTAATGTAAGTGTTAAAAAACCTAATATTATTGATATTTCTCTTAATTATTAATTGTGTGCATACCATCATAAAATTAAGAAGTTATTTTTACTACAACGTAGGTATTGTGTCTGAAAAAGTGGAGTTTGGGGGTCGGCCCGGTCTCTATTTCAATTAATCCCATATGTTATGTTGTTCACTTTACGCGTTTCTCATTTTCCGTGGTACCCTGTGGGTTGAATTAACTGCGTAAAGTGAGGGTTCACTGTGTATATATATATATATATATATATATATATATATATATATATATATATATATATATATATATATATATATATATATATATATATATATATATATATATATATATATATATATATATATATATATCACATCTTCAGGGACGAGTACAGATGGGGAGTAATTATTAGCAAGGCTAATATATACAGTAAAGGAGAGCGAGATCAAGTCCCTAGGGACAGCAGTTTTTACATGGCATTACTCAAATTCATGTTGACAGATTCAGTATGTTTACCATAATGAGACTAGATTTTATGATGCTCCTACTGACAAGTAAGGCTCACTCTCCAAGGTAAGAATATACAGTAATGTAAATAGATATAAGTGGTGGTAAACTTTGCTGCTTGTCACCAGTGGAGTGAAAGTTTCCAACCCAGTACCCTGTACTGTACATTAGTTGATTCATGATGACACATACTAACCAAGGGGATTAGCTCCTCTGAAAACTTGTCTGAAGTCCTTCTTCCTCATCTGGGGCAATGAACGGATGTAGTTCCGTGCCTGTAAATGCGATAAATGGTGAAAAACGTGTCCCTGATGCAATGTACTTATGCTGTTATATACTTAATTAAACCCAAAAGAAATGGCGTCAACTGTCCATAAAATATCTCGCGAATAAATAAATTCAGCTTGATGTTTTATATTTAATTGTTGATGAATTAAATACTTTCTACAGGAAAAATGTAAAGTTAAACATTAAATACCCTACTGAGCACTACATTCTATAAAAATCATGTCATTTAAACTTTCCATCAATGACACACAATGTACAGTACTAGATAGTCAATGAATGCCATGAGATATGCTGCTACTGTATGTAATGAGATAATCAAAACTTATTCCTTTTGAGTAGTACTATTCTTTCATAAAAAAATCGACTTTGAAGCATTATGTCCTTTAAATTGCAATATACTGTACAGTGAACCCTCCAAGATTTGGACCCTGTAAATCCGTATTTCGGAAGATTTGGACAACAAATTTGGGGGTTCTGGTCTAAGAAGCATTCCCAAAACAGGGTGAAGGTAGTTTTAGGCTTAAAGTTTTTATCTTATAAAATGTCACAGAATAAATCTAGCAGAATATAAGTTGCATTGTTGAAATCCTTGCAAGATAATGAATAATTTGAGTATAACTATGACATAGTTTGCACAAGAGATAAACATTTGAGTACAAAGTGAGTACAGTAATATGTTGCTCAAAATTATGACTTTCACAGGAAAAAGTGTGTACAGGTTGACAATTCCTTATCCGAAATCCTTGGGGCCAGAGGCATTTCGGAATTTTTCGGTTTTCAGAATGGTTATTTTTTTATATATTTTTTTTATTAGCCTTCCCGGGCACAAGTCATTGACCCACATTGGGGCCTGGGTGGCAAAAATATAATAAAAAATATAATAATAATAACAATTCACAGGTCTAGGTTGTGTTTCTCACTTTTGATCTTTTTTTTCATTCTTATATTTCTTTATTATTATTATTTTATTATTACAGTATTATTGTTATTATTAACTTTATTATTACTGTATATTTTATTATTATTATAATTGTTATCATTATTATTTTATTTTGGTGTATTTCTTAATAAATTTTTTATTTACTATGAATAATTATTATTACTATTACATTTCCCCAGATGTGGGTCAGTGATCTATGCCCGGGTGGGCTAATCCCCGTAAAAAAAAAAAAGTGTTTGGTGTTTTTATATCATTATTCATAGTTTTTGTACATTCACCGGACGATTCGGACAATCGCCTTTTTCAGACAGGTGGTCCACCCTTTTAGTCCGGATCTTCGAGGGTTCACTGTATTATTATGATTTTATTATCCTGTTTTACTGATTATACTACAAAGGTCTTCAAAACTACCTAAAAAACTTGCTTCCATTACCTTACAGTGAACCTTGTAATTTCTTCAAGATTTAATACACATCCTAAGTGACAAAGCTGTAAATAATGAACAGGTACATGTATGGAAAACTGAACTAGGCATTGAATTTTCCTCCCTTCCGTTGACCGCATCATACTGAGTCACATTAGCTTTGTAACTATTCAGGATCAAATTTGTCAACATAGCAATGTCAGGTTTTTATATAATAATTAGGGTGATACTCACTGATGTCTGTTAGCCATTAGAGAACTACCATGGAGGACTATTAAAGGATGACTTCTGATCATTTTCTTCTTTGGCAACATTCTCACTAATATCCCTCATGGCTATTGATGCTTCAAACTACCCTACATGCATTAATTCTTCCATTCTCAACCTTTGACTGTTTCCCTTTACTTATATACACACAATAAAAAAGTACTGCATCTTATAATATGACACCAAGGATGAAGGTTTTTGACAACCAGTAAAGTAACAAGAAGTTACCGTAAGTTAATGTAAAAGAAGACATCAATCTCTATATAATTCTGGGATACCATGTAAGCTAACTGTTCTGATACCTGCTTTATTATCATCAGTGGCTATTTTGATAAGGTACAGTACTGTATATATGAGCAAAAACATAATTCATTTACTGTATCATAACTTGTGCCCAAAATGTAATATAAAAACCTTTAATACGATCATGAATTATCACAGCACTTATAGTTTTTATATGTACGATCAAGCATTAAATGATATGAATGATATTGTGGAAAAATACTTGAGAATGAGGGTGACTCAATACAGGCTGTACAGTACTTCAATAGGTATGATACACTTCAGCTATATTTGGCAAAGAACAATTTCTGCAGATTGCAACAGTAAAGATTTAAGTAATGTATCGATAAAGCTGATCTGGCAAGCACATAAAATTTAGTAATAAGGCTGTAAGATTGAAGAATCATACCAATAAATCATAATTGTGGGAACAAGTAAGCACTATGAATAATGTAAAGCATCAATAATCAAATCATCCAGGGATCCTGTCCTGTCTAAACATTAACTAAAAGCTGAGGAGTAAGTGAGAGGAAGACAGTGAGTCATAAATATACCTTAAACATAACACAGTACTGTAATATGTGTGCGGCCAAAGGGAGAATGTGTAATTAACAAAATGAGCAATAAACTCTTGATATAGTACAATCTACTTTATGATTGGGAGGTTATAAAAATACCTACATCAGCCCCAAACTTAAAGAAAACTATATAAGACCGAGTTATAAGAAATAAAAATGCAAAAACGCTATTTAAAGGACGGAAACAATCAACTTCTAGCTGCTACCATATAAAACTAAATTGGTAGTTGTGTTGGCAAGCTGCTTCCTCACTGCAGTACATCGTATGAAATTAAAAAAAGTGTCTAGCAATATTTTATGAAAGACATGTATAAATATTTTAAGAATTATAATCCTTCCCAATGAGCATGCACCTTACCACCTTATTAATTTTTAGTTATTTCCCAGTAGTTCTTTTATACACTGTCAAAAAGAACTAACTACTTGAAAAGAACTAACTACAGTAACTACTTCAAGAGGAACGTTACTTGTTACAGCTACTAGTTACCTCATCACTGGTGATTTTAGCAAGTGTTTCTTCATCAGGTGTCCCAGCGACGACTAGGATGCGCGTTAGTTGGTCAATGTCTGAGAAGCCAGGTTAAGGCTGCTACAACATGTTAGACAGAGCAGAGCATCGGAGTTAAAGCCACTGACAAAGCCAAGTAAAAGATCTAAACTCCCGAACAGTTCACCAAGAGAGAACCTATAATTATATTAGTCAACACCATTGTGATTACTGTGTATTATATTTACCTCTAACAGGTGCACTCTATTCTGCACTAGAACATGTTTTAATAATATCTACAAGGCAACACCCATAACACAGTCAACTAATCTAATGGCAATCGGCTGCCAAAAGAATCACTGCAGTAGAAGACGAATTGCCACAAGAAAAAATATCTTATTATAGCCTCCTGGCTCCAAAATAAATATTAGAAAAACAAATGACAAATTAAAATACTGTATCTACATTCACAAATAAGTAACAAGTCTCATTACAGGGGTATTTCCCAAATGTATTCACTTAAAAAAAAAATCTACTTTTTACCTTTACTGTATTGAGATCAGTTTTTAAGATGCTCAAGAAACCGTTCATTCCTGTAGGCCAAAAGTTTTACCTCTAACTTCCAACTAAGTCAGGAAGATCTCTTTACTGAACTAACAGCCAGGCCACCACAGATTTTCTTCCCAAAGTACTTATATGTATCGTGCATTTCTGTTACTTCTCTCGATCTTAAACGTAAAAAACCCAATAACACCGCAAAGTCTGACGGAGATCCTTCATGCAACACTTCAGGAAATTTAGACGTAAGAGAAGGAGAAAGAAAGATGTTGAGACCAACCATTAATGAAGGAAATGTTATTCCTCTTACAAATATGGAAAACCTGGCACCTCAAAGTTTTGTATTACTGGTATGAGGAAATACACAAAGGAGTTGGAAAATTCATTCACTTAATAAAATAAAACTCCATATAAACCTAAATCACGTGCTATTTAGTCACCATATAGAAAAAACTCTGCATGACTTTTTACCATAGAAATCCTAAAAGAGAATATCTAATTAATAGTTTTTCTACAAAGTTAAATTATTATATCCTTTCACAATGAACATATGCACACTCACCACATATAAAGTGCAGTACTACCTGTATACCCAGACAAGGTCACAGAAACTACATAATTACAAAGTTAAAACAAAATAAAGATACACAACATGGTACTGCACACACTTTTCAACACAAAAAATGAAGAAGTGATAAGGATACGCAACACTGATGACCATATCTAGAACTAAGAGGGGACATTTGTGACATGACTAATAGAGATTTGAGTACCTATGAATCCAGCAATAGATAGCATGGGGTGAAGAGATCAAATTAGCACAGCGTATGTACTGTATTCCTGCAAGCACGTGGTGTGATAGGACTGAGGTGTAGAAGACTTACAATGATAATCTTAAGGGCCCTATAAATGCAAATGGCTAAAGTCCAATTCAGGTGGAAAGGACATTTGAGGCATTATGCCACTGTCCAGGACTCTGTTGGTGGTGATAATCAAAGATCAGTGAATGTGACCTCTATTCTACTGACCTGAAAATAGATAACAACGGACAAATCTGTGTACTAAATCTCGTTGAGTTTCATCCACTGTGATAGAAAGGATACTGCACTAGAACAAACAGGTGATAGCTTGACAGACAGATGAGCACATGGCTTACATGTACTGTACTCTACTTTACTGTAATGCCATGGTAACTATCCAAGACAGTGGCATAAAATTCAATTGTAAATATTATGATATACAGCACTGGTAATCATTAAGAATATATTGTATTTTTCCTCCTCCTCTGTAGCTTTCATCTTGATGTACAGGGTATTAGTTAAAGTAGCTTATACACAATATACATTATCTACAGTACTTCTTGCTCAAGTGTGCTGATCTTTGACTTGAATATTTGTGACACACATACAGGATAGTCTCCATGTCTAAACCAGCTGAGAGATGGGACTTCTCAAAGATTACCCTAATTACAGTCTGATCACAACACAACTTTTCTTAAATATATAGCAAGCAAAACTTGTAGACAAAAAATGTAGGCCAGAACAGTAACTAAACAGGAACCTTGCATGAGTAAGAGGGTGATAAGCAAATGTCAAGTCCATGAATATAGTATGATGTAAAATAAATATATATATCAGGCATATTAAATAGCTACAAGAAATGGATATTTCAGCACTGGAATGAGAGGCCTTTGAGATGAAAAACCAATAGAATCTGGCTCATGACAGCAAACATTCACACAGCCTTAACACAAAGAGCAAGATCATAAAAAAATGTTTATGCTACATAATAAAGAAACAAGCAATGCTGTATAACAAAATAGTAAATATAAGTAATCAAGTCTGTCATTAGTTGCAAGCATATTAAATGACCACAAGGAAAAACTGTGGCCTGTATTAGTAAGCGATTAAAAAAAAAAAAAAAAAGCATCGGAAAACAAGAAACAATAATAAAAAAAATAAATAAGGCAATGTTTTACCAAAAGCCTAAGATATGATAACAACTAAAAGTGGCCCACTATAATCCTGGTGTACCCAGCATCAAGAGGAACTAACCTCTTCACTGGAGAGTTTATCAATTAGGTCCTGACTGGGCGTTCCCACCAGCTTCATAATCTTGTTCAGCTGGTCAATGTCTGATAAAAGGGCTAAGGTAACCCAACAGTATATAAAAAGGTGTAACTTGACCTACAGATCAATACAATATACAGTACACCAAATCACCATAATGCAGGAGGATGGAAAGAACATGTTATGAAGGAGATATATGGAACACTACTCAATCACCGTTAACTGTGAAGAGCCAAGAGTACTACACTATCACCGGTACACAGTGAGGATCGTGGAACACTACACTATCACCGGTACAGTGAAGATTGTGGAATACTACACTATCACAGGAACACACTGAGCATTGTGGAACACTACACTATCACCAGCTTTCAACTCCAAGCCAGTAGTGCTAGAATTCTAGAGTCATTGAGTTTATGATGGACTATGTATATTAATAATACTGTACCAGAAATAACATGAAATAAAACAGTGTAAAGCAATCATATCTAACAATTGGGTCTGTCTAACTCTTCACAAAACTCTCTTGATTCATCCAACCAGTTAAATTAAATTGCATGACTTTTAATCCTTATTAGAGAAACTTCCAACATTCATTATTAGTAGTAAATATTTAATACTACAGTACTATTACCCCTAAAAGTTCACCATAGTCCGTAATATTAATCGAGTATTTACAGTTTCATCATACTTCACAATTTGCGAATTAATACTTATTTGTACCGAGATGTTTTGTGAATGAAAAACATTACGGAACAAAATATAACCTGTCAGTATTGTTATTAGTGTATAAATACAAACAGACTAACAATGTTAGCAGTGTGGAGGCATAATGGATATACCGGTAACTCTATATACAGTACAAGAAGTTGATGGGTAACCATAACAAACTGAAGTGCAAATATTAAAACAAACATTAGGAAGAAGATGAAGCATAAAAAAAGTAGATATTAATAAAGAAAACTTGTGAGTAAGTTGATACAAACACAACATCTGGCTTGAAAAAGTGAAGAGAGAGATAAATTAGAGTGAGTTAAGGGACTGTGTAGGATGAAAAGTGGATGTCGTTCTGTGGACTGTACTGTACTGTACTGTACAGTATATGGGGTGAATGTAGAAATAATTTACAGTACTGTATATAAAATTATGTTTAGAAAATTCAATTATGTTGTGATCATTTGGAAAAAAAATTAAAGCTGAGAATACTTCATCTTCTTGTCACAGACTTCAATAATTATCAAAACTTCTGCCAGAAAGGAAACAAACACACCAAATGGTACATAATCTATCAAATTAATTGAATATGTACTAAACTCAAACACTGAAAACTTCCCTTGTAATGTGAAGATATAAATATATCTTGTAATGATGAAGACTGACAGATCAGGCCAGACAAAACATTTTGTGTTTCCAGTTCCCAGACGATTCTTCGTTTTTGCCGCCAACCGTACAGTTCTGTTGTATTCATGCCCAGTTACTGTTTTATATATATATATATATATATATATATATATATATATATATATATATATATATATATATATATATATATATATATATATATATATATATATATATATATATATATATACATACACACACACTGTACAGTACTACATACAATATAGTATCTACTACAGTACACTATAGTACAGTATGTACTGCATTCATGATATTATAGTACAATACAGTACAGTACTACAGTATAGTACAGTACTGCTTTTATTTCAGACCACCAGAAGTGTCGTTATATATTTTCAGCAGTACCGGCGAGGGTGTGATATTCTCCACCTGTACACCATAGAGCCTGGCCTCAGTCTCAGGGCCAACCAAAACAAGATTGACAGTTATACCAGATATATATAGAATTTCAGCATGAAAAATTAATTAATCTGCCAAAGACTAAGCAAACCAACAAATAAAAGACTATCCTCTTCTACATAATCCGTTAATTAGAGGTTTCACATCTTACGTACTTAGATATAAGAAGCTACTTTTTGTCATACAGTCCGGCAGATTGCAAGGGGGGGAGGGGGTCATATCTAACGACGGACCTCGATATGACACACTGCCCTCCCCAACATATTCCATTAGATGGACATTTTACTGCACACTGTACGTATTCTTAAACTGATGCCAAACTCTATATAAAGCAGAAGAAAATGTAAGTTTGTTTGTTTATATCTCAAGACTTTTCTTCCATACAGCACGGTGGGTCTTAAATACACAACATTATTCACACACCAACATCGAAGTACGGTCTGTTCCTGCAATTCTCTCCAGTGAAACCCCTCTCATGCTTGTCACCTCGGGTTTTTCTTCGTATTCAAATGGATGTTAGTTTAATATTGAAAACAGATTTAATTAATTGCTGAGATAGTCAGCCAAGGTTGTGTATGTTTCATTGCTAGAGATATATGTGGTATTATTAATGTAAATCAGCCATGAATGCCCAGTCATTACATGCTACCATATACACCCATTTTGATAACTAACAGAAGCACAATCAGAGGGTTAAGACAACAAAGCATCGACTATACTATACAGACGAGGGCAGAGGCAGCTGTAGAGGACTAACTTACCGATTCCGAGGTGATGCGGTTGAGGTACTCCTGTGGTGGCGTCCCCAACAGCTCCATGATAAGATTAAGCTGCTGGATATCTAAGGTCTCAACTAAGGGCCACAACAGCACATGCTAGGACAGGCACAACTCTTACACACCAACACAAACGATCACACACACGCAAACAGGCAGGGTAATTCAAGCAAGATTTTAAATTGTTTGGATATTGCTACGGTATATATTGTCACTCGGGTAAATACTGTATACACATATATATATATATACTGTATATACATGTTCTCTTCTGGAGTTTTAGATTATACACATTGTTAGCAGCAATTACTGGAATGATTTTAGTTCAAATCTGATGTGGGTCCTCAGAAAAAAAAGCACACGTTTCAGCCCTCAGACACACATTTCTTTTCAGTGATTCTCTTTATTGTGATCTTTTAACCCCTTTTACAATCCTATGTAACTATGAAACACGGCTTAATCTGTTATACTGGCTGCCTCATTATGGGATCTAAACTTCAGCAATAAAGAAAACTAACTGAAACTAAGACTGTCTCCATTAACACACTTGCTCCAGCCTGAAGCAATGTCAGAAAAGGATAATAATTATAGTAAAAAAACAAAAAACAAAAAGAAGGAAAATAAAAAAAGATAAAAGTGTCCACAATCATTAAAGAACCAAAATACAGAGAATATGGGGATTCAAGACAGAAATACTTTCGTGGATAAAATCTAACGTCAAAATGATGCTGTATATCTAAAGAACCATTTCTAATTATCCAATGGGGAGGCAAATACAAAATCTCCTCCTAGTATCTGTAAGTCTTCTTTTTTTGTAAAATGCTACACCGCTTTCATCCACTCACTCTCCTCCATTTCACTGAACTCAATCACCATTATCACTCTGTTCCACCCACACTCCATATACAGATCACAGATTAACTAAGCACTCCTTTCCCTATTCTACATACAGTAGTTCTTATTCTGTTCACTCTCGTAACTTCACAACCAACATTCAATAATCCATCTCCATATTCTTCATTTTCCAATCTTGCTAATTCATCAATATTATTTTCTAAGACCGCACTCAACACTCTGTCAGTTGAGACATAAAACAGTTATGCATAATTTACACATCCTTATCTTATCCCAAGTTCACTAGAAAGCCAACTGGTTAGATTTAATGTAGAGCCGCCCGTCTCTCTCTCTCACTCTAAATGAGTTCTGTTTAACATCAGCAAGTGAAGCGTACGTTCAATTTGGAGAAATGCAAACAAGATTAAAAGCTCCATGGTTCAATTAACTACAGTATCAGCAATGATAATAAGAAGAGTGAGGAGCATGTTGATGGAAAAGATGGAGAAAAGGTGTGTATAGCTGTAACCTATAGTGGGCGAGTACCTGTAGTATTATTCATGTACTGTACTGTACAGTATATGTAGAACAAAGTACCGTGCTTGTCATGCATATATATACTAGTATTAAAAAAAAAAAAAAACAAACTCTGATACACTATTTTTCCATTTCTGTAATGCACATAATAAGCCCTTTCTAATTGTTGTATGTTTTTTTTTCAATTCAATCTTTTCAAATAAGAAATAAATAACATAATTTAATACTAAAAAAATTAAATAAAGATAACTCATAATCCAAAAAAAAACCTAATTCTTTACTCTAATAATAATATTATAGAGAAAATAACTATTAATTTTATCTATTGAAGAACAGACCTGAAGCATGAATAACCCTTAATTCTGGTACTGTGACTTGACGCAGACTAACGGGAGTAAACATTTTTCCCAGCACACCAACACTATTCAGCCTTCAAGATCCTCACAAATCACTATGTTAGAAAAAATCAACATACATGATTATGGATCCTGCTGATGGAAAATAAGGGTTGCTGTACATTTGGAAGAATCCCTCAATCATAACTTCTAAGTTCTCACACATAAAGAAAAGGAAGTTATGCTATGCTATTACATAATATAAACTTGTCTGACTTAGATTATTCACTATAAAGTGTAAGAAACCCGACAGCTCCTCGTCTATAGCACAAGTTCCACCCACTTACAAACAAAATTAATTGTTATAAATCAAATCAAAAGGAAACAACTGATACCAACTATAAGATACTGTAATTAAAATCTTTGGCACATGACCACCAATACCACTTGCAATATTTTGTCATATAATGTTGATAAAAAGGTCAGTACTTGTACCTGGGCCAACACCACTACAGAAACTCTTCAAAATTATTCCATCAAGTCTAGGATGATATCTTTATAAACCACATTTAAATTAACCTATAAAAAAGAAAGACAGCCCATTAGTGTACCATGACTCTAGGGCACACCCTTATTCGCTCAACAAGTGACTACTAAACGGGAAGAGGTGGCTGTGAGTCAACAACAGACAGATACTTCACCGCCAGGAGAGGGGTCCAGGGATATACCATCAGCAAAGTTTTTAGACATACAGAAATTGTTATTCAGTGCTCTTTTTGGAGAGCTGGAGTTGTTAGGAGTGTGTTGCATTACTGTTGAGTAAGTCTTGAAAGCTATTCAAGATGCAACGAATAAATAATTTATCAAGAAGTCCAAATTATCGGAGAACTGGAATACTGTACTACTGAAGATCAGAGAGGAAAGCAAATTAGTGCTTGACAAATGGTGGATAATTTTTAGGACTATATACTGAAAAAGCTCTGAGAAATTACAGCTGGGAGGAAGTATTGCTAACCTACTGGTGATTGGATGGAGAAATAATGAAATTCTGGAGGAGCAGGAATGCACTGGCAGACTGTAATGCTGGAAATAGTTGGGAACAAAAAAACTTGAGAAAAGTGAAAGGTGTAAGACAGTGACAGATTTCTTTTTTTTAGTACAGTACACTGCATATGTATCTTAATGGTGCCAATGTGCTGTACTGGTGATAGAAAAAGTGTTCAGCGCTCCATGAGAACAACAGGGAAAGAGTGAGAGTAAATGGGAAATAAAGTGAAACATTTGAAATAAACGTGGGTGTTAGACAGGGATGCGTTATGTTCCCATGGTTGTTCAATATATACATGGATGTGAACTATTATACACTGGAGAAAGTGGTGATAATAAGCTTTCTTGCAGAGCTGCACACATCTCAAATCCTGATTATAAGGGAGCCAAGTTGTCACTGTTCAGTATAACTGGTGACTGCTTCTATTTACAGTTGGGCTCTGACCCTAATATGTTCAGATCATGTATTATACAGGTCCAGGGGAGCCAAGTTACCACTGACCATCTCTCTCCAACTGTACTTAAATAAATTATTTAAAACTTTAAACTGTAAAAGTAGAATAGTATTTTCCATGCATTAAGAAGAACTTAAACTTACTTTTTGTCTTTTAAGCACATAGGATGAGTCTGGGTGACTGATCAAAGCTTGTGTTTTTCAAATTTGGCTTTTGCACGGTGATTTTTTTTAGATGGAAAAAGAGTATACTATATGATTGCTAAATCATCCTGAATGAAAAGTTTATGATTAATAGCATATTAAAAATGTATAAAAAGGGCTACAAATACTAAAAACTAATTAAACCAACATAATAGCACTAAACCCCCACAGTTATTTTTTAGGTTTAAAAATAATGTTTTTAGAAACCAAGGTTTTTTAAAACAATGGTTTTTGTCAACCCTGCAATTTATATACAAGAATCATGACTATAGGTCATTATTTTGGTTCTGGGTGTTGGATGACGCTATGCTCTGTGAGAGTGAAAATGATGTTCCTGTGAGGTGCAGGTTTATAAAATGAATTTATAAATTAATTCTTTATGACCCTCAAGCATGAGATACTGTACACTGAAATAAAACAAAAGATTATAGTGCACTTTGACTACACCAATATTGTCATCACCATAATATTCAATCCACAGATTATGCAAGGTATGTTTTCACAGGACAATACAGAAATATGAACATAAACAATGCATTATATATTTGGATTGAAAAATAAAATATTACTGAAACTATATACAGTCCAGTAACAATTTGTCACAGGTAATGATGTCTTATTGAGTACCATAAAAAAGAACGAACACCATATGGACCAACACCACCATGACTGTAGCCACAAGACCACCCATCAATGCGTCATAAAACCTAAATCAAGTTTGTTAGTTTTAACCCCTTGTGTCCGGGGTCCTCTCTCCGCTGAACCAAATCATCTGGCATTAGCAAAATAAAATACTAAAAGTGGCATCCCCATAGTGAAGGGGTAAAAGAGCATATTAGTTACATCCGAACATCGCAAAATCAAGCGGGGTTTTTCTGTCTTAAACATTCTGAAAGAGAGGTCAGTCATATCTGTACACTTACCAATAACTAAAACATCAGACAGTAAACCACAATAATAAAAATAGAGTCCCTACCTGCTGTCATGGATACCCTCCTGTGGTTGGTTATGAGAGAAACGTAACAACAGGGGAAAAAGACTTCATCAAACACAGGAACATATGAATATATAATGCAACTGACGGCTAAATGTACACAAGTAGTACATCAGTGACAGCCTGTATACTGTATGTACATAGAACTAAATCTTTATGACATTTTGATCGGCCTAAAATAAGTGACAATCAACTTGAGATCTCTTAACTGTATCAAAACTAAACAAGGGGGAAAAAGGATACGATCGGCGCCAGGAAAGAGTGTTCGCCCCGTTAGAAGCTCGGCCATTATGCACCCCACCGACCATATGTCCACTGAAACGGAGAAAACTCTATTTACTTCCCTCGTGCATTGATTGACGTTTACATCTACTGTACTGTACTTCCCCAATAAATGATCAAGCCTAATTTGGTCACCTATGCTAATCCCACTGATGTAAATAACTAAGTGATCATAAAGCCATAATTAATATCAAACGTAAAACCTCCGGAGTCAATTACTATTAGATACAAAGTGACGTATAGTACAATGTGGTCTAGGGTGATCAGTAATACAGTAATTCTAATTTTGTTCAACTAAACTACAGTGACGATATTCAAATTTCTTACCTGCCTTCCATAAGGATCTCTGCTTCGTAACGATTTCTTACTCAACATGAACTTTTAGTATCAGTCCGCCAATACATTAATCGAGGGCTTAAAAATAGTAAAATCAAGCACAAGAAAGTGTTCGTATAATATACCTGTCTGTTTTCACTGGAGGTAACATCTTGCTTGAGACTCTCTTCAACTAAACGCTGTGTTTCCAAGCAAATTATTGGTCATTTTGAAATATATTTTACATATTGACAATATATAATGCAGTGTTGATTTAAAGAAAATAATCTCTGGTGCCCGGTACCATCTGGTGGCGGTACGTAACCCATTGAAACAATCATCTTAACCGATTCTGTGGGTCTTGCGATATTCACTACCTGTTATGCTCTGCTGTACATTACTCAGAATTGTAGATCTAGAAAAAATAAAAATGCACAAGAAAGTGTTCGTATAATATACCTGTCTGGTTATAGTGCATCCAGTTAAGCATAATCTCTGGTGCCCGGTACCATCTGGTGGCTACGTAACCCGTCATCTCCGATTCTGTGGGTCTTGCCAAACCAAAGTCTAGGATTTTCAGCTCACAGTCCTCATTTACTGCTATGTTACTTGGCTTCAAGTCCTGGTGGAGGTAATTATGCTTGTATTTTTAATCTGTATTTACAGTACAGTCTCTGAAACATAACTCAATTGTGTGTGATAGCATTGTACCCTAATTAAACTTCCAAGCTTCTAAAATATGTAAACTAGAAGACTCCTATAATTTCAATCCAATTTCAAATAACAAACTGGTGTAAGAATCCATAAGTGAGGTGTAGAGTACAGTACTCACCCTGTGTATGATACCGGCTGAATGAATGTATTTGAGGCCGCGGAGTACTTGGTATATGAGAAACTGAACGTGGTCGTCTGTGAGTTTCTGTGTTTTGACGATGTTATTGAGGTCAGCTCCCATTAGAGATGTTACTAAGTATCTGGAGAGAGAAGAAAAAAATTAGGCCCATATCCTTCATCAGAACATTAAGTACAATACTTTACCTGTACCTTATTGATATTATGAACAGAATCAAAACCTCAAAAATATCACGAACCCACTTTTTGCTTGCTAAAAATTCTTTTCACCTTGAAACTGAAAATTAACATGTTTAAATGGTGCAATATACCGATTTTAACTGTATTAAGCATAAAAAATATCTGAATCAAGTAATTAACAGGTGAAAACAGGTGTATTGCTGTTTTCTCCCAAGGAGTGCAGAAGTTTTGGCCAACGTGACAGCCCCTTAGATGCAAGTATTGTAACACTATCCTCACTTATGATACACCTCATACATCAACAAGTATGGACAATGTTGCTGTAACACAAACATATGCGCCATCTCCACAAAAATCTATGAGGCAATGTGAATATTTTTTTGTTCCCGAGACATCTTGCATGTACAGTATCTATCCTTTCAGCAGGCAAAAGCTGTTAACCTGCTCAGCTCATTTCGAAGCTGACCTCTTTACAAAGGTTAAATTCTAAGTAGAGCTGTGCAAAGGCTGTTGGTGACCTAAAAACTTCAGCTAATCCCCACACTCAACCTCGTCAATAATTGCGTGAAGTTATTAACCTTCACTGGGTGAGCTTCTAATGCCGTAAGACCATTGGACCCGAGAGTGACACTGCCGCCCCCACACTACAGCCTATAGCCTTGAGGGGGACAGTAAGCCCTAACCAGCTGTATTAACCTGTAGGTTCTGATGATGATGATGATGATGATGATGATGGTGTGTGTGTGTGTGTGTTCGTCTCAACCCCACACTTTCCCCCCAACATCTAACCAGCTAATCCCAGTACGTCCCACAACCGTTGACAAGAGCGTGGGAGAGTTGATGGAAGGTGAGAGAGCAGCAGGAGGGTGGCAGGAGAGCAGATACAAGGTTAAATGGTAGGTGGTGACGATGGAGGAGGAGGAAGAGGAGGAGCAGGAGGTAGAAGAAGAGGAGGAGAAGCTGGAGGAGGAAGAAGAGGGGGAGGAGGAAGAAGAGGAGGAACTCGAGTTAATGTCATCACCAGGTACAGTAAATTGACTAGGGGTCACCTTGCTGTCCTCCTCCACACACACAAACACACTCATCCTGTCCATCAACACCACACACTTAACATGACTCATCTGCCAACACCATCAGTCATATGTGTGTGTGTGTGTGTGTGTGTGTGTGTGTGTGTGTGTGTGTCAAAGGTTACCCCACAAACAAACACTATCTTGTAATCGTCTATGTCACAATTTCTCTCACCACCAACAATTTTGTGTCACTCTTTACACGATCATTAACCTGTGTGTGTGTGACGGCAGGCAGAGACAGCTAAGGGGATGTAGGGCGCCAGAATGGGTTAAGCTATACTTAGTCTGATAACATTGACCTCCATTCTCTATACCTACCTGACTTAAATCAATACTTGTGGCACCTAAGAAGCCCCCCATCAGCGTGTACCCCCCAGCTACCCCACCCCACGGTATTGTGAGGTGTGTGTGTGTGTGTGTGTGTGTGTGTGTGTGTCAGTATATATTATCCCTGGGGGTGAGAGATAATACCTAACCTAATCTGCCACCTGCATCACGACCCCTGCTGGATGTTGAGGTCTGCCCCATAAACATTGCTTTATGTTGTCGTAAAGTTCACGTACAGCCACACGCCTCTTACTGTGATATATTCTCTCTCTGTCTCTTCCTCCTCTTTTTTTTCTTCCTCTTATTCCTTTTCGTCTCTCACCTCCTCCTCCCCCCCTCTACTCCTAGCCACCACACATTACCCTTCGCTGCATTACCTGGGTGTGTCCAATGGTCTCGGTAAACATACGGTACAAGCTTCATAAACCCTGAGCCAACATCTCGTAGATAAAGCTTAAGCTGCCTGATAGCTGTGTAATTAAGCTTGAAGGTGATGATAATGGGGTAGGTGGTGATGATGGCGAGTGGGTGGTGAGGAAAGGAAGATAATTCCAGAGAGAGAGAGAGAGAGAGAGAGAGAGAGAGAGAGAGAGAATTAATAATTCACAAGCTAAACACTAAGCCTCTGGATCAAACACCACAACACCGTATATAACTAGACAGAGATGATATGCGACAATTAATTAGGAATTCCTGTCTTCTATCGACCTGAGTTTGTCTTTGATTTGAGCGGGCGTAAAACATCATCATCTATCGTTGTTTACTGTCTACATCTGTCTAACTACCTCCTGTTCTTCCTCCCTCGCATTATACCCGCCTTACCTATCCTCCTAGCTTCTACCTAGACACACGCCACCACTTCTATGTTAATCTCTTCATCTAAGCTCTGCACTCCTCTCTCCCCTTCCTCCTTCACTGTCAGCGCCTATGTTTACGTTTTCGAATCCCACTTTAAATCCTGAACCATTATCAATATAAGCATAGCGCGTCAACATACAACCATAAAGTACCCACACACGCTCATTACACCCACACACTCCCTTATTACACCCCTTCCCACACCTGTCAGTAGTCCCCACGTCCTACACCCCACACTAATAGATGAATCAATACCAGGAACCACAGGTGTGTGTAAATAAATTAAAGCTTTTTTCAGCGAAGTTGTCTACAATCAAGAACTCACCCCTTCCTCTCTACCTCCCCCTTCATCCTCTCTTCACCCACCCCTTCCTCTCTACCTCCCCCTTCATCCTCTCTTCACCCACCCCTTCCTCTCTACCTCCCCCTTCATCCTCTCTTCACCCACCCCTTCCTCTCTACCTCCCCCTTCATCCTCTCTTCACCCACCCTTCCTCTCTACCTCCCCTTCATCTCTCTTCTACCACCTCCCCCTTCATCCTCTCTTCACACCCTCACCTCCCCCTTCATCCTCTCTTCACCCACCTTCCTCTCTACCTCCCCTTCATCCTCTCTTCACCCCACCCCTTCCTCTCTACCTCCCATCCTCTCTTCACCCACCCTTCCTCCTCACCTCCCCCTTCATCCTCTCTTCACCCACCCCTTCCTCTCTACCTCCCCCTTCATCCTCTCTTCACCCACCCTTCCTCTCACCTCCCCCTTCATCCTCTCTTCACCCACCCCTTCCTCTCTACCTCCCCCTTCATCCTCTCTTCACCCACCCCTTCCTCTATTTCTACACCTCTTCATCCCCACCACACCTTCTCTCTCCCCCTTCCTCCCTACCACAAACTCTTTCTCCCCTTCCTCTCTACCTCCTATAACAATTAACGAACGACACGACCAACAAAACAGAGAATAACACGAAAAGAGAAGAATACCGCGAATGACACGAACAGCTATCACTCAAAACACTCATTTCAATATTGGACAGGTGCATCTCCCATGTTCCTTACACGTGGCTGCTGGAGGCACACTCACATAATTACTGAGGGGTGGAGGGAAGGATGGAGAGAGGGAAGGAAGGAAAGAGGGAAGGAAGGAAAGAGGGAAGGAAGGAAAGAGGGAAGGAAGGAGAGAGGGAAGGAAGGAAAGAGGAAGGAAGGAAGGGAAGGAAGGGAAGGAAGGAAAGAGGAAGGAAGGAAGGAAGGGAAGGAAGGAAGGAAGGAAGGAAGGAAGGAAGGGAAGGAAGGAGGAGAAAAGAAGGAAGGGGAAAATGGAAATAATTTTAACTAATGTTGGGAAAGTGGTGTGGGTGTTGGTGGTGGTGTGGTGTGTGGTGGTGGTGGTGTGGTGGTGGTGTTGGTGGTGGTGGTGGTGGTGGTGGTGGTGGTTGGTGGTGTGGTGTTGGTGGTGGTGGTGGTGGTGGTGGTGTTGGTGATGTGATGATGATGATAATGTTGGAGAAAGCAGTATACACACACAGAGAGAGAGAGAGAGAGAGAGAGAGAGAGAGAGAGCGCCACAGTGTCCGTCCGTCCGTCCGTCCGTCTGTAGTCGTCGCCACCGCTCGTGACTATTACCACCAAAATATCAGCCACACGTCTCAGCTGTACACCCCCGCCCCTCCCCCAACACACACGCCCCGTAACACATTGCCCGTGCAGTACTTCCGAAGACAATATTCAGTGCATCAATCTCCCCCCCTTTCTCTGTCCCTTTCCTCCACACTCTCTCCGTCCTTCACTCTACAACCCCCCTCTCTATTTCCCCTTCTCTCCTCCCTACCTCTACCTCCCTCATACAGACACACACATACTGTACATACACCTGAGACTACAGGATGCGTCGCCGACTCTCGCCCCAGATAACATTACCTCTCCCTCCCCCAACACACACTATCCAGTTCGCTCGTGTTGACTGTCATGCTCCCAGTCACCTCCTACAGTCAGAGGTCATCAGAGTGTGTGTGTGTGTGTGTGTGTGTGTGTGTGTGTGTGTGTGTGTGTGTGTGTGCGCGCCATACACACACAGACATCGCCAGCATAAACATTTAGCAGCGCCTGGTGTTCCTCTCTAAGGATCACACCCCCCCCAACTTATTTCACCTGAGATTAATCTTCCCTATCGCGAACCTTATCTTATCTTATCTTATCTAACTTCCTCCACAGAGAGAGAGAGAGAGAGAGAGAGAGAGAGAGAGAGAGAGAGAGAGAATCATTCCCTGGTCCTAAATTCGCGGAACAGAGACGAATAATAAAAAAATAAAATAAAAACAACTCCAAGAGAATTTTTACTCCGGTTTGTCAATTTCATGTTTATCTTTGGAGTTAATTAAGAGGAGGTTGTAGTACACACTCTTCTCAGTAAGGCTAAGTGACGCTTCCTTAAACGATTAATTAATAGCCTTCCTGTGTTCACTTCTTCCATTATCTCACACACACACACACACCTAACTTCCACCCATTATAATGTCTGTCATTATCCTCTCTTCCCTAATTATATGACCACAGTATCTCATTTTTCTATACATGTCAACTATTTCTCTTAAAAGTTTATGCTAATCTTAGTACATTAAATATATAGTTATAAAACACTACTGAGATACCGTATAGTTTTACACACACACACACACACACACACACACACACACACACACACACACACACACACACCTGTTCAATTATACCTTTAAGATATAATTATATTTCAATTAACTTATCTACGATTTTATCTGATAGTAATCTTAAACAAATCAACTGACTTTTAATCTATATCAATTTATCTAACTTAAATTTATACGCCGTTTATCTAATTATAATCTACGTGCCTTATGTAATTCTAATGTACACGACTCCAGTTATCTAATATTAATCAATTACTTTATCCGTAGCTAATCTACTGTACATGAGTGTGCTTTTAATAAACCCTCCATATAACGGACTTTCGATCTTATAGTTCGTTAAATCGAGGTATTACCACCACCACTATTACTACCATCACCACTACTGCTACACCACTACCACTACTACTACCACTACTACTACTACTACCTCTACCACGTCCTTCCACAGGCTGGTTGGTGCATGGTGGTATTTTTAGGTCATCTGGAAGTTTAAGGCCCTACGTGAGCCAAATACAATGAGAGGGAGGGAGGGAGGTAAGGAGGAAGGAAGGGAAGGTGGGAGGGTAGGGAGGAGGGAGGGAAGCAGGAAGGTTAGGGAGGAGGGAGGGAGGGAAGGTGTGTAGGAGGGAAGGTGGGGTGGGTGGGTTGGAAGGAGGAAGGGAAGGTGAAGGAAAAGGTGGGTTTTTTAAGTGCATGAAGTCCGGGTATATTCATTAAAATTCATTCAGTGTGTGTGTGTGTGTGTGTGTGTGTGTGTGTGAGAGAGAGAGAGTTTCAATTACTCTCTCTCTTACCGTGATGACAGTGGCCTAGACATTACGAGTGCTTCACGCTGTTGCCTATATGGGGCGAGGGTGTGGTGGTGTATAGTGTTGCGTGTGTATAGGTGGGTGTGGCGGTGGTGTGTGTGTGTGGGGTAGACATGAGCTACACCATGCCTCCCACACACCATGTGACCTCCACCACCTACTAATGGTAAACCTGTTATGTATATATTTTATTATTTACTACCGGCTCGACCAGACCAAATTGATCTGCGTCCGTCTGTAACCACACCCGTGAAGGTGTAAACAAGGGCAAGTAGTGAACATCGACCCCTCCCTCCCTCTAACCTGGTGTTTTGACATTAATTACCCCCCCACACCCCCCATATACAGTCCACAGCTCTACCCCCCACACCCCCCAGCTCTACCCCCCCACACCCCATATACAGTCTACAGCTCTACCCCTCTACTGTACAGCCCTGTAAATGTATTCAATACATATTATATCATTATGTCTAAATCAAATGTAAGTCTGTATATTTTCAGCCACCGGCTGCAACTCTATTAATAAACCGTTTATTATTATTATTATATCACGACTGCGTGGATTATAACATGAACCAGACCGATAGCTATCAAAACAAAAACAAAACCAATAACTATTAAAACAAAAACAAAACCATTAACTAAAAAAAACACTAATTGGTGTAAAAAAAAAGACCAATAACTATCAAAACAAAAATATAAATACAGAGCCAGTGCCATGCAAGACCCGAGTCCACCTTCCCTCTTGCACCGACTGACCACATTCACGTCGTCCTTATGATTCATATACGAGTCAGTTGCTATAAACAGTGGGGCATAATATTTACAAGACTCCCCCATCCTCCCCACCCCACCTTCACCCTTCCTACCCTCCTCCCCCACCCACAACATGGTTCATATAAGATTCATTCACGGTCCTTCTGTAAACAAGAGGAGAAACGTTCACACGATTACGACGCTGACTGACTGTGGCGGCTTCATTCATCTCGCACTATAAGACCGGATCACCTGATCATTAGTCACCCCAGCTGATTTTAAGTATAGATTAACCATCCTAATATAACCTATGCAACCTAACCTACATTATATCTAACCTAAACACACACACACACACACACACACACACACACACACACACACACGAGTCCGTTTCATTCATTAATACACACACCCCCACCTCACAGTAGTTACTCACACGTCCTGGAAGTTCTCATAGTTGTTAGACGGGGTGAAGACGTCCAGGAGGCCGATTATCTGAAGCAAAGAAACAACAACAACACGGTTAGAACTTGATGGTGATGATGTAAACAGAGGGGAGAGCAACACACGAGAGAGAGAGAGAGAGAGAGAGAGAGAGAGAGAGAGAGAGAGAGAGATAACTGTCAATGTTTTGGTCAGCAAGATACAGAGGTGTGCACAGTGGTCCAAATAAGTATTGCCGAGAAAGCATTATATATTCCCTCATCAGCGTGTGGGTTCCTTCCTGCTGGTGCGTTACCCTCCTTCTGGTCTCATTTGTATCACTATGCTGCCCTTATGACTGGACCACCTCCTACACTCGGTCACCAACAACGTCTCCTTCAACACAGACCAACTCAAGTGTTGTAACGTCATTCGGATCTGATGAAATGTTATCTCAAATCTCCCTAACAATGAATAGTAATAGTCTCCCTCTATCTACCTATCCAACGGGTGTCTCCTACTATCCGGGGAGGGAAGGGACCTCACAACACACTCTCTCTCATTTCCTCGCCTGGTACCAATCATCCTCACATTCCTTAAGTCACTCGTTTCTCCACACGATCACGCCTCCCTCCAACACTGCTCTCCCTCCCTCCAACATTGACACCACCACCCCTACCCTCCAACACTCACATTACTCCTATACCTCCCCCCAACAATGATATCCCTCCCTCCATCACTGACCTACTCATCATCACAAATTAATAACTACCAATTACTCTCTTAACGACTGTATGAATGCTTGTCAGTATTATCAAATTTCCTGAACTTAATCAATCGTAGGTGATGTAAGTTTATCGGGTCCTTGAGTAGGGGACCTGCATATAAGACTGTGTAGTGAAGATGAGTAATTTATTCTATCATTCCACGGGAGGTTATTGAGAACGTCTGTGTTCATCCTGGGGCAGAGGTGTAGGGGGTGGGTGTGTGAGGCGGACACCCCCCCCCCCACACCTCTCGTACTCACTCCCTACTACCTACTACTACCATTACTACCACACTATACCACCTCAGAGCCATCGTTATACCACACATTGTAAACAATAAATAAACTCTCAATGTCATGACCTAAAAAAATGGTTTAACCCGCTCACCGCATCACTAAACCGCGGCCACCACACTAATGAACACACGAACCACAACCACACTACCCCTACCACCCCACCCACATCCATGCTACCACCACCAACCCACCATGCTACCACACCACCACAACAGCCTTCATACACCAACCACATCTCAACCGAGTATCACGTCTTTCAGCCCAAACCTCACAGCCGCAGTGAAGAGGCCAATTTATTTTTGGTTGCCATATAGAGAAACCTCTATTTAACGAACTAAATAGAGGAAAGTCCGTTATATTGAGGGTCCGTTAGATGTGAAACACGAATTATATGGAGAGAGAGAGAGAGAGAGAATCCGTTATATGGAGATTTCACTGTACTACGCCACGTTACACTGTTTCACAAAGGGTCCATTACCTACCTACCTACAGGAGGGTTATAAGCGACAACATTCACTCTCTCTTGTTCGACCTTGAAACGAGATGATTTAGTCTATTGTACTCAACTCTCTGTGTAATGCCTCCCCCGCATAAGGCATAAACATTAAGTCTCATTAACTATCTTTGAAGGCGTTGAGTCGACTTGATTACTTTTACCAAAACTTATATAAGCCTATAACCTTCCACGCCCATACATAGAGGAGGGTGACACACTTCTGGCGGGTGGAGGGAAGGGGCACTCAAAGAGGTTTTCCTTCTCAATCTACCAAAATATTATCATCACTTACCGTTAAAAAGAACCTTTATATGAAAACAAAAACAGCAATAATGACAGTCCTTCTCCATGCATGAATGACAAACCAGTAAACCAAGATGTATGTATGTATGTATGTATAACCGACAGATTCGACTTAACGTTAAAGGAGGAGTGGAGGAGAAAGTGACAACAATAACAGGTAGGTGGAGGTGACGGGCTCGCAGCCTGCCAGGTCTTTATGTCACTGTTACAACATCCACCCCGTCAGGCAGCTAGCCAGGCAGGTATACAGAAAGTGCGTTACCCTAATATCAACAGGAATATTTGTTAGTGTGTGTGTGTGTGTGTGTGTGTGTGTGTGTGTGTTGAGGGAGGGAGGGAGGGAGGGAGGGAGGGACACAAGCGTCACATACAGGTAGACAACTTACCTGCAGAATAACAAGATCAACTTACACCTACACGACAACAGTTAGACAAAAAAATAACACAGTACCGTACAGTTACTCCCCATTTATAACACCCTGTACCTCAAACTATGCACGGGGAATGACTTATGAAGCCCGCGTTTACTTTTAACCCCTGGAACTTAATACAGACAACAGAGCACACTAATCTAACCTAACCACTCACTCACTCACCTTACCACTCACTCACCTCACCTAACCACTCACTCACCTCACCTAACCACTCACTCACCTCACCTAACCACTCACTCACCTCACCCCTAACCACTCACTCACCTCCCCCTCACCACCACTCACCTCACTAACCACTCCTCACCTCACCCCACCACCTCCACACCCACCTCCACTACCTCCACCCACCACTCACTCACCTCACCAACCACCACCACCTCACGCTCAACCTCACCTAACCACTCACTCACCTCACCACCACTCACCCACTCACTCCACTCACTCACTCACCACCACTCACTCTCACCTAACCACTCACTCACCTCACCTAACCACTCACTCACCTCACTCTAACCACTCACTCACCTCACCTAACCACTCACTCACCTCACCTAACCACTCACTCACCTCACCTAACCACTCACTCACCTCACCTAACCTGCTATCTCAACTAAGGTAAGACAAGAAGTTATATCTTACTCAGTTACTTTAAGGTATGAGACTTGGGGCCACAACCTATACTAAAGATTAACTGAAGGTGAACTGGCTTTAAACACGTGGTCATGTCCTTCCTGTTATTATACGAACAGTTAAAAAATAATAATTTCCTTGTTGACATAACGGTGGCGACATTAATATATAAAACACAATTCATCTTCTCTTACCATAATAACATAGTCATTAATTCTCTATAATTAATTATATAATACCTGTATCTGTTATCCTTGGCACTAAATCACCTGCATATATTATTAAAGCCAATCATAGATGACGTTTCAAAATATTATATCAATTCACCACGATCCAAATGTTGGCAATGACACGGCAGGTCTTCATTAGCGCCACGCCTACACCTCTCCCGCCCACAAAAACATAAACATTACCTTATTTTTGGTAAACATGACTCGTGTTTACATAAATCAATGTGATGTTTGTGTTTTTATTATAAACATCTTCAAGTGAGTTTTATATGTGTAATAGTAATGTAATAGCCAGTTATTGTATATATATTATAAACGTGTACGTGTGTGTGTGTGTGTGTGTGTGTGACAAGGCCAGGCGTAGGAGAGGGGAGAAGGTGATTGGGGGGAGGGTCTGTCTCTCCCTTAGATATTCTCAAACGCTTCCTCACACACACACACACACACACACACACACACACACACACTAATCATACCTACAATCTTGCTGAACAGGAAAACAAACATGATAATATTGTCTTTGTTCGTAATAAAGTGAACAAATAGTTACAAAAGCTACACTCCTCTTATCATTACAAAAAAGCTATATTTAAACAATGTCCGTCACAGGTTTACATGACACAGATACAACACCCAATAATTACTGTATCATTTTGAAATCTTACTTGTTAACCTTTCTGGGGAATACAGGAATCGAAAATACAAAAAGAAGTGTAGCGGAGGTTATGTTCGCCTACAGACCTTGATGTAGAGCTTAACTAACCTAACCAAACCAAAATTAACCTAACCTACCCCAACGTAACCTAACCTAACCCCATCTTCCCTAACCAAACCTGTACTTTTTATACTTGAACTAACATGTCTTAATATACAGTACACTGCAGTATATACGTTCCAAGACTTGCGATGGCTGCCTTGGGATCAGGGAGGAGCCATGAGCCCTACTTAAGGGGAAGAGTTGTACCTGTAGCTTGACTGGGGGGGGGGTAGTACAGGTGTATCAGTAATTAACTCCTCTTAACTATATACAGTAACTACAATGTGTTTTATTTTTTTTCATATCAAGGTCGAGTTTTATGCCGCCATGTTGGTATGTGCATAGTACAAAAAAAACACTTCTATTTAACGGACATCAATCTGTCTCGTCCGTTATATGGTCCTTGATATAACGGACTGTGCTCTCTCATATAGTGTAGCTAACGTCTGTGTGTGTCAGAGAGAGTAGTTTCTGCCCCCCACCACACAACATTTCACCTAACACTGAACCTTCAACTTCCTCACCTGCAGATGACTGCAACTGAAAACACACACACACTTACACAAAACCGCTACTTAGGTGTATCGACATTTCCCTCACCTGCCCTCAGGACCCAAATGAAGCCTAGTTGCACGTCATGTTCAACCCATAACAAGAGTTCAACGCTACCGCCGCCACCACCACCCACACCCCACCCCGCCCTCCCTCCGTAATACAAACATCCTCTCGCGGCTCCTCCTTGACAGCAACAGGACGCGTGCGGCAGTAGATATTTATTTGGTATTACATAACTGGATTGTAACCGTTTATTATACACACACATTGTTACACAGCAGTTTAGATTATAGCTTTACAAATTGATGCAAAAAAGTGCTTCAAATATTTATGGGTGAAAAATAAAATAAACAGCTTTCTGAAAACACTCTTATGAGGTGTTTTCTCTTCCAAAGATATTTACGGTACCACCTGTCGAGTCCAGCCGCCCAACAACTGTACCGAGACCATCCGACCGACCTCCCGCCCAGCTGATGTGATACTGGGGACTAGGCGTGTGTCCCGCCCTTATTAACACATCTGACATCAATACAGGATAAATTATAACTTAATGACGTGATGAAAATATAACTCGTTAACATAATTATCTTCCATGAACACCAGC